TTGAAATTGTAACATGCAGTTCATAACAAAAATTTGACTTGAAATACCAAGTGTGTGATACCAAATTATTCGTAAAAAATGCTTTTTTGAAATATACCACCCTTGTTCCATTTGAAAAAATTGAGATATGATTAAAAACACGATTTAAGCAGCTTTTAACCGGTCAGGACAAGACACGAAAAACATTAGACAATCAGATCTATTTTTCCAAGACTCTTTGATTAAAAATTAATGTTTTAACACAGCCATAGCTCTCTAGCTTGAAATTTAAAATACGATTTTTTTAAGTTAAAACGTCAACATTTTACATATAATATGTCATTCTGTTCAGAGTGTCATTTTATATCGAATAAAGTGAAAATATACCAAGGGTGCCATTTAAAAATCAAAAGTTGTAGTAATTTCCGCTGAAATAAGAAGTGACCAAAATCAATTGAAAACGTCAATCAATCCTAATTTATGTCATATACCAAAATACTAAATTTCGTTTTTTCAAGTTTTGACTTTTGAGACCCACCCGGTATACATTTTTTCATTCACGCTATTGGACGCGAAGTACTGTATCTAAATGATTAGCTTTTTAATAAAATTATTAATTAAAAAATAGTATGTATTAAGAACAAGCTTCTATTTAAATGCTTTAAAAAGAAGAAAATACAAAACATTACACAATTTATAGCTGAATGCTCCCTGGTATGATCTAAAAGTTTGAAGCGAGATTTATGTGTGGAGACAAACAAGAATACAATATGTAACTGGATATTGACTTAAGTTATTCTAAGAAAAAGCTAATATTTTATAAAATATAGTTACCTATCACACAATATTAAATACAGCGCATGATCGAAAAAAACGGTGTCCAGTTGGCTTAGAAATGAACATCGATGACATTACCCATATAATTTCACACATAAAATGACAGCGATCTTCATTTCATAGCCATCGCTGACTCCGTTTTTTTTTCGATCATACGGTATAATTGGATTTATCTATTAAGGTAGATTCTTACTATAGGTACCTTCCATATCATCCTTCCATCCCTTCCGTTTCCCTTCCGTTTACATAAAATATTATATAATGTAAATGAATAGTACAATGCACACTATCCGTTCCTTTTCCCTTCCGTTCCATATCCTTTCCCTCCATACATTTTTTTGGTAGAGGGACTGAAGCGTATCGGAAACAGCGTTGTCAAATTCTTACATTTGTACCAGCTCTGTTAAAATTTTGCTGATATTTATTTATTTTTTCAACTATTAATTAAATCTATTACCTTTTTCAAAAAATAGAAATTTTTAAAATAAAATTTTCGTAATGATATAAGTTGTGCAATAAAAAGTATGAAACTGATACGGAACGGAAGCTTACATATAGCGTCAATACAATAAAAAATACCAATAAAAAATACGGAACAGATATGGAATGGAAAGGGAAGGTATAGTGAGAATCGACCTTTATGGCTCCATCTTCAGACCGTATCTTTAGGGTTCTAGAATCTTGATAATAATATATTCCAATTCATTCATCGTTTTAGAACTCATGTAGCACTTTAAATATGTCCTCTATATCACTAAAACATAATTAAAAAAAATAATAAGAATGGAATATTGGACAGAATAATAATTAATCAGTCGAAAAGCGAAAACACATATAAAGATTAGTATTATTATTTATGTTGTTATTGTCATACATTGATCCTATAGTAATCCTATATCATTATTATTACACAGGGTGAGTCTTAAATAAGTGCAAATATTTTTAGAGATAGTATATTTCGACATCTCTGAAACACGATTATGAAGTTTTTTTCGCGAAATTTTTTTTTGAAAATTTGGAATTTTTTGATTTTTTTTTAACCATGGTAAATCGAAAATTACGAAATTATACCGTGGGAAAATTTACGGCGAATGGGCAGTTCTAAAAAGTTTTCTAAAATGTACAGGGTGGGTCAAATTCGACGCTTTTAAATGGAAACAACCTTTTCTATAGGAGATAGACAAAAACTAATATCGGTGTCTGGAGCTCAATTTTTGTCAAAAATATGATGATGGTGAAAACCGCATATCGATATCTGTTACCGTTTCGGAGTTACGGGGTGTTTTTCAAAAATATGCATTTTTAACAAATCGCTGTAACTTTTTTGCTATGGGAAATTTTGTATTTTTATGAAAACATTTCCAAAGCACCTTTTACGCAGAATTTAATGGTTTAAGTATAATTTTTTTTAAATTAATAATTTAAGAATTATCAACAGAAAATTTGATTTTTTATATGGGACACCCTTTATATTTTTAATTTATTGAAAAGAATTTAAAATTACCTTTCCAAAAATATAACACACTTGATATTTTGCTCGATTCCTCTTCGAGATATACAAAAATATAAAAATTCTTCCGCTTTAAATAAGTAGGCTTTGAACGGCACCCGCTGTAATGCAAAAAAATTCTAGCTGTGAGCATCAATTAAAATGAAAATAATATTTGCTATGAGCAGGGCCTATTCTACCATAAGGCCCATAAGGCCTGGGCCTTGGGCCCGGTGGTCTAGAAAAAAAAGGTTGAAAAATATTCATAATTTTTGAATTTTATTGGAAAAGAGGGCCCGAATCTTTGCTTGGGCCTTAAGGCCCGACCAGATGAAAAATAGGCCCTGGCTATGAGAGATGCAGAATTTTATAACAATCTAAAATATATTAAACCAAAATCAACACATTTAAACTATATCTAATAACAATAAAAATAAATAGCAAACCAAGACATGAGATTTTGCTACAGGTGTTCAACATATCGACCGTCTTCTATTATGGACAGACGGGGCAGTTTTTGAACATTTCTCGCGGAATTAATTAACTCAGTGGAGGTGAAAGATACCCTCTCATAACTGCTAAGTATTTCTAATTCTTGTCTAGATTATACGCAAGAATAAGGAACCTTTATTTTTCCGCAAATATATCCATAGGACATAGGATTAGGTCCATGGGCACTAAGTCAGGCGGCCTCCACGGCCAACGGCTGGGATCTTGGTTAGCTATTCAATCATTCTTGAAATTGGCTCCAAAAATTTGCTGATAACTTCAGCGTTCAGAGGCGGTGCGTCGTCTTGCTGGAAAAATATGTTTTCGAGTTCCATTAAGGGCATATCATCAATAAGGGGTCCAAAGCCTACTAGTTAAAAGTGGCGAACTTTTAAAAACTCTGTATTTCGAAGGGGATTATAACAAAATATCAAGTGTGCTATATTTTTGGAAAGGTAATTTTAAATTCTTTTCAGTTAATTAAAAATACAGAGGGTGTCCCAAATAAAAAATCAATTTTTCTGTTGATAACTCTCAAATTATTAATTTTAAAAAAAATTATATTTAAACCATTAAATTCTACGTAAAAAGTGCTTTGGAAATGTTTTCATAAAAATACAAAATTTTCCATAGCTAAAAAGTTACAGCGATTTGTTAAAAATGCACATTTTTGAAAAACACCCCGTAACTCCGAAACGGTAACAGATATTGATGTGCGGTTTTCACCATCATGTTTTTGATAAAAATTGAGCTCCAGACATCGATATTAGTTTTCGTCTATCTCCTATAGAAAAGGGTGTTTCCATTTAAAAGCGTCGAATTTGACCCACCCTGTACAGTAAAATTTAAAAGAAAATGCAAAATCTTTAACATCTTCTTTTGCGAAAAAAACTCATAGACGTATTCCAGGGGTCGAAAAATACCATTACTTAATAATATTAAGACTCACCCTGTATAAATTGTGTATCTTAGAATAAATATATTCCTGATATTTATTACGTAGTAAAAATACTAGTGTGTCCAAATATGTCGTGTATAAAAATATAATTTACCCATCCCTGACTCCTGACATTTTTACACACAAGAACTATAAAGAGATTCAATTTTTCGAATATAAAATACATGAAATAAAAACAAGACCGACCTGCATTATGTTTTGACTGAAAGTCGTCAAACGTTCTGAATTACAAGCACGCGTGACACTTCTGTGCGGGGATGTTTACCAACAAACATTCTATTTCAGACAGAGTATTATGGAGGCTTTGTCACTTGGATTAAAAACCACAATGATGTCGTCAGAGGCTCATGAATAATTTCTTTTCTGGTTAAAAGGTTTGGATTTTGTGGCAAAGCATGTTTTTCTTTCCTTTTTGTGGGAAGAGATTGAGGTCGTGAAGCTTTGAATGAAGTGTAAACATCTATTAACCTTCCTTTTTTGGATGGTAATAAAAGACATGAAGAAGACAGAGGATGGTATGAATCTTGAAATTAAAAATAAATAACCAATAGTTTTTTATAAATATTTTCCAACTCCACCGACGACCGATTTGTTTTGTAAATTTTAAAACATTTTTCGATAAAGAATCTAGTGGGGTGCTGTCAAACAGTTTTATTTCTTAATAATATCGCTACATTTTCTTCTGAACGATAACCTCTTAAAAATTATTTACCAAGACAATTTTTAATTCTGTATTTTAATTCATGAAAGTACAAAATAATATCGTTAAAAAAATAAAAATGTTTTTTGTCCTGACATGTAATGCTTTACATTTTATTTTTTAATTACAAATCGGTAATTTTTATCAAAAAACACAAGAGATAAAAAAGTTTCTAAACAAACTAAGCTATCCAAATTAATTTTTTTGCATGTGTTTGATAAGATTTTTCTTTAAATTTCGTTAACAAGTATGATAGGGGTAGTTTATTTCAACCCCTTCCACACATTTTAAAAAAGTGAGAAAATTACCAGAAAGTGTGTTTTCATAACAGTAATGCTTCCATAAAATTTCATTAGTCTATCTCTTTTCGTTTTCAAGATAAAAAATGAAAACATTATTTTTCCGCCATTTTTGTACCGCGATATCTCCCTAATGGTTGACTTTTGACCCAACGTTTATGAAGCAAACTACCCTTTATTTTGAACAAGGAATCACCACCTGAAGTTTTTCGCATTTGTTTTAAAACACCCTGTATAAAAAAACAAAAAATCTTTATACACTTTTATTCGCTACATCTATAAATATATCACAATCATAGTATACACTAACTCTATCAATAATAATTTAAGTATAAATTATGAACCACAACCACCTTTATTTTTCCTTTTATCTCTCTTTGCACTATCACTACTACTACAGCATGCCGTAGCATTGAAAGGTATGTTATCCAGCTTCAGTGTATCCTGTGTGATTTCAGCTTGGTATAAATTTGGAGCTACCTCCTTTGCTTGTATTACACAGGTCCTCAATTCAAGCTCAACTGCTTTACATTGATTTAATAATTCTTTTATTGCTTCCTCGTCTTGAATGTGTTTGTATTTATCAAATTCCTCATTGATTTTCTTCCTGCCTTCGCTGAGTGCCCTGTCATCTCCTTTAAATACGTTCTGTCGGGTCTTGTGGATTGTCTTGAAACATCTAAGTACTTCTTTTCTTAAATTGTTGGACATTATTTAATAATTCTTATAAATAAAATTCTGGAACTTTTAAAAATAAACTTATAACCTAACTTTTTCCGGACATTGTCAAAAAGTCAAAGCTATGTTGCCAGATAATCGGGTCAATTTTGTATTATAATTTTTAATTAAGATGTGCAATGATTTACTTGAAATATATCATAATTTGGTTTAGTTGTGTATTGTTTACACTTTACATGCTCAATTTTTAATAGCCCTAGTTAAATAACGTTATAATAAATTTGAAATTATTTATTTCAAACAAAACTAGACAACGTTGTAAAGAAAACTTGTGGTGCCATCTTAAATTGACTCTGCAAAGTTAAATAAAATACTGGAAAGAATTCTTACTCTAAGTAGTCAGTTTCCTAATTTACAGATGTCGCCAGCAATAATGTAAAAATTAGTTATCGGCAACTAGATATACAATATAAAATTTAAAATTTGAATTTGAAAATCTCTAATTTCAAAATGATTTTATGAACTTCGTAAATTTTGTATATTATACAAGGGATTTTGAAGATTATGGTCATAAAAGAACTTTTTTTTACATTATTTTTAATATATGAATATTAATAATACTTACCTCTAGGGAGTAAATAAAAAATATATGTAGGTACCTATATTACAAGTTTATTAAATATTGAAAATACAGTATTTTTCAATCGTTACGTACTTAAACCTTATAGATACGGTAACTAAAATAAAAATAATGTTATATATCCTAAAACGGCAGTTTCAAAATATTTGTAGGTATTTTTTTAAGACTTTTAAACAAATCATAGGTATCTAGTAATTTTTCAAAAATACGAAATTTAAATAATAGTTATTTAGATTAGTTAAGTCCTCAAAATCACAACTTTTACAGTATGATTGAGATGTTTAATTTTAATACAAACTAAATCAATGTGTAAAATTTTGACAAAAATGTATTAAATTTAAGAAATAATTTTTTTTATTCGCTTAGAGTTATACTCATGGTGGTTTGTCTTTTTTGAATGGGATATACTTTAGTAATACTATTAGTTTGACTTGACTGCGTCATGTATGCCCCAGCAAATTTCTGATTGACTCGACTCATTTTTGATTTGATCCTGTTTAGTGTTTTCTTCTTACAGATAAATATAATAAAAATGTATATACCTAAAAATATAGAAATATTTATAGATCTTGTAGTCTTGTAGTTTGTAGTACTATAATAAGGTATTATACCTTGTAGGCAAGTTATATTATCGAATATTACTTCAAGTTGTTTCGTAAAAGTGCTGTATTTTTTCATGTTGCTGAAAAATGCAGTCGTTACCTCGAAGATCCAAAAGAATCCCATTATGATTGCTAGTTTGATGATCAAAATTAATCTAAAATACAAATTCAAGTATTTAAGTAGTTTTAGAAAATATACCGTGAAATCCCGGAATAAGAACCTATATACGTAATTACTGGATTCCGGGATTGACTATCAGGAGAAAATTAATGTAAAAAATAATAATAATGCAGCTACATATATCAAATAGAAAAAGAGAAAAGAGCTAAAAGATAAAATAGACAAAACAAAGTAACATTAATATTTAGTAAGTAAAAAAATACAATATTCTTATTACAAAAAGACTTAAATATAGCAACCGCGGAAATATAATACCACAATAATATATATTTTTTTTTGTTCTCCTTAACTCCTTAGGATAAGTAAAATATGAGCTTCCAAAGACTAAATAAAGTGTATAAAGTCGAAATGGGCATTTAATTTTTTTGAGACTTTCGGGATTCCGGGATTTATAAACATACAGAGGGATCCCGGTTTGGAAACCCTACTCTTGCTCTCTGATTTTTATTGTTACCTTTCTTTGTTGACTGAGAATTTTTGACTTTCGGTACTCTTTGACGAATGGTTCATTTTGTTTATTTCATTCTTCACTCTGACGCAATAAACAATTGTTTTTACGAACAACACTGTATTTATAACTTGGAAGACAAGTTGAGGCACCAATAAGAATAATATTCGAGCATAGTTTCCTAAAATATAAACATAAAAATGTACAGGTGTAATTAGACTTCAATATACAGGGTGGTCCGAACTGTATTCCGGAAATATACTCTGCAGATAAAAATAAGTAAAAAAGTTCGTATAAATGTATGTCCTAAAATGCTTAGTTTTGGAGATACAGGGTGTAGAAGTTTCATTTTTATTTCGATTTTTTCCAAATAATTTCTGAAATGATGTCAATATTTGGATGAAAATTGGTGTCTGGGAGTTTTTGGACATGAGAAATTTGATTTTGATGTCAATATAACTCCAATTTATAGGAGGCGCCATCTACATATGTTTTAACTGTTTTGAAGAGTAACAACTTTTCTCGTCCGGACCTGTATAAAACTACTGGATGCAAAAATAAAATACACATTTCCGTAATTTTTTACGTAAAAAATGTCTCATGATCAAAATTGCTACGAGCAACCGTTCTCAAGATATTTAGAATGGAAATAGTCCATACATGTCATTATTGACCAAAAATAAACATGTTGAGTTGATATTTTAGTTCAGTAATATTATGGCTCAAATTGCGATATATCCGACAAAATTCATAAAGTTTTCAAAATTGGTGGAAATAATCATCATATATGTATTCATAAACGGAAAAGTTCCCACCTCTAAATAGCGTGCGTCAACCCCCAAGACATCGTTTCTACCCCCATTTTGAGTTTTTTAGATAATCTTGGCAACGGTGCAATTCTCGACAAAAATATCTATATAGAGAATTGTTCTTCATAAAATTCTCTATCAAAAAGATAACACTTTTTTTAGAAAGTTAATAATAAAGTGGCAAATAGGGCGCAAAGCGCGCTTTCTCCCTCTAACAAAGATGTCAAATTTTTAAAAGAAAAACAGGGTAATACTTGCAAAAGGATTTACAGTTCTCAAGATTTACAATCCGCAACTTTTCTAATAAATTGCAAAAATGCTATATTATTTGTACACGCCATTAGCGGTTGTGATAAAACCTCGGCTTTTTTTTCCAAAGGAAAGTTTAATGTAATCAATGTATTCGCTAAAAGAAATGATTTACAACATATTGTACAAACTTTCAATAATGAGAAATCTACTCATGAAGAAATTGCAAACGCATGAGAGCAATTTATTTTAGCTTTATACAACTGTACCTCAGCAGAAAGCAGTCTAGAAAGTCTAGATGAATACCGATTTATGTACTTTAACAAACTTGTTGGTAAAGCCAACAACATTGTCATGTTGTCAAAAGTACCACTAACTTCCGCTACCAGCTCGGCAACACTCGTATCGGGTTTTTCACCAAATTCAAACATGGAGAGGGGTTATGCTCGAACCTACCAATTGGGGGTGGAAAAAAGTTGGCGGTATATTAACCCCAACAATGACAAACAAAGGGCCAGCCCCCGCATCTGTTTTAACGCTTATTTCATGTTCATGCAAATTAGGGTGCGAATGCAGATGTAGCTGCAGAAGAGCAGGCTTGCGTTGCTCACATGGCAATGTGTTATCATTGCCATGGACAGTCATGCTAAATTTCTAAACCTGTGGAAGATGACGAAGATTACGAGTTAACATTTGATAATTAGTGAATTGGGCCTACAGGAGATACCACTTTAAAAAAACGCATCAAATACTTTACCTCTAGGGTGATGTGGAAAGAAGTACAAATCACCCTTTTTATAGGGGTAGAGGAGTGGGAAAGAAGAACGTATATTAAAGTTCATTAAAGATTAAAAAATTAAATTAAAGTATAATTTAGTGGTTACTGCTTTTTGTTAGCGTTAAACATTAAACTTTAAATTAGATTGAACTGCAGATAGTGCTAGTCATAACCATCCCTTCTATTTGCGCCCTATTTGCCACTTTATTATTAACTTTAGAAAAAAAGTGTATGTATGAAGAACAATTTTCTATATAGGTATTTTTGTCGAGAATTGCACCGTTGCCGAGATTATCTAAAAAAACTCAAAATGGGGGTAGAAACGATGTCCTGGGGGATGACGCACACTATTTAGGGGTGGGAACTTTTCGGTTTAGTAATCCTCATGCTATCTCCAACCTACCAATTTTCAAAACTTTCTGAATTTTGTCGGATTTAAATCGTAATATTACTGGATTATTTATTTGACTGAAATGATTTTTTGACAATTTTTTATTTTTTTAAGTTAATCATAAATTTTTCTTCGCAAAAATGATGACAAAACAGTTTCTGTTAAACATTTGGCCTAAAACATTTCAAATTTATGATTTCAGTCTAATAACTATTTAGTCAACATGCTATTTAATATATGTGAATGACGAGAGGCATTGATAAATTATTCGTAGCGAGTTTTATCAAGAGATTTTTTTTTACGTAAAAAATGTAGTAAATGTATAATTTTTTACTCAGTAGTTTTATACTGGTACGGGCGAAAAGTTATTACTCTTCAAAGCAGTTAAAAATATGTAGGTGGCGCCCTCTACAAGTAGGAGTCATATTGACATCAAAAGCAAATTTCTCATGTCAAGAATCTTCCAGACAACAATTTTCATCCAAATATTGGAGTTACTTCAGAAATTATTTGGAAAAAATCGAAATAAAAATGAAATTTCTACACCCTGTATCTCCGAAACTAAGCATTTTAAAACATTCATTTATACAACATTTTTTACTTATTTTTATATGCAGAATATTCTGCCGAAGTTTCCGGAATACAGTTTGGACCATTCTGTATATAAATGTATGATAAGTAAATAGACTTACTATCCTCGATAATACAATAATATACTCCTATATAAGGATGTATAACATTAGGCAGTATCTCTGTCTGTTCCAACGTTATTATCAGTACCAAATGACATAAAGGCAACCCCCATCCGTACAGACAATACAACAAATATTTCTTCAAATCTTTTCTGCGTTGGTCGCTACCTATAGCCCGTTTTGACGTACTAAAAATATATTAAAATAAATAAACACCCTGTCGACATATGTGTTGTTATAATAAAATATGAAAGATTTAAGGCAAATTCATCTTAAATTCACGTAGAGTCGTTGGAATGATATACATTTTACACACGACAATGGTGTAAATATTTTTAAGAATCGATTATTTGTTATTGTTGGAACATATGGACTAATTAATAACAAGATTCCGGATGAAATGATACACGGTACTCAAAATCCATAATATCAGACAATTTCGTAGTATACACGGTGTTTCAAAAAACTTCTCTGGTCGGGAGATACCTCACGTAAAAATAAGATTTATTTTTATATCAACATAAGTCCGATTCTTTGTTTCGTATAGCTACAGAGTAGAGGTGGGAATTCTAGTTCCTTGGGAGGAACTAGTTCCTTAGTTCTAGTTCCTCCAGAGGAATAGTTCCTTGAACTAGGCCTTTAGTTCACAATAGTTCCCGACTAACATTGACATCCCCGTTGTTTGCTAATGGGTTTCGTTGTCAGTCAGAACTATTCACAGTATGATCTGTATAATGTTTATAATGTACGAAATATAACGAGACGTATAATTGTGTATGTTAAAAACATATAGGTAAGTTTTATTGCAGATAAAAAAATTAAAAAAGAAACTCAAATCAGACTTTAAAAAACCAAATCCATTGGAGCAAAACAACTAACCTAACCTAACCTAACTAAAAATCAAAAACAGTATCCACGACAATTTTCTGTGGTAATTACGCCGGCTGTGGCAATAGACAAGGCCGAATCCATCGTCGTCGCCTTGTATTATATCTCGGATCTACCGACTGAATAGATTCCCGTGAACTATTCTTTTAATTACTTCCTCCAGGTCCGGATCCGATAAAATACGGCTGGCTCTCCCCACACCTGCCTAGCATCAATCGCGCTGGCCGATCCGTACGTAGTACGTAAACTAGTCTTTTATTTAGTTCCTCTAGCTCCTTTAGGTCCGGATCCGATAACATACGGCTGGCAGTCCCCACTCCTGCCTAGCATCGGGCTACGCGCGCTGGCCGATTCGTCGCCGTCGCATATTATTATATATCGGTCACAGTCTCGATCCCGGAATAAGTCCTGAGAAATTAGTTCTTTGAGAAACCAGGAACTAGTTCCTTTCATTTCGGGGTCGGAATAGTTCATTGGAACTAATTCGTTCACGAACTTCACACCTCTACTACAGAGTACTGACGGCTTTATTTAGATTTGATATAATTTCTTTTCAACCGCCTGTAGGGATTTGAATGATATTTTGAGAGTGGAAGTTACTTTAGGTACCTACTACATATTTTTATGCTAAAAACATATGTAGAACACATTTTTGCGTTAGCAGCATTTTTTAGACCGTAAGGTATCTTCCCACGAGAGAAGGTACAGGTTTTTGCAAACGCCCAGTATAGTATTGTTATATTTTAATTTTTTTTTCTCCATAAATTAGATGAGCTTATAAAAAAAATATTTTTACTATAAATCACCCATTACATATAATCTAACAATTATTTATTTTAACTTCTGTAAGGATATGTTTCCATTTTTGTTATAAATTAGAAAATTAATCAGAATGCAAGGGATGGTTTTTCAAAGTAAAATGGATTAAAACATTGAGATTTTTAATGAAAATAATATTAAATAATTCAGTAATCAGTCATGAAAAAATTAACATGAACACAAACATGGACACAGGTAAAGAAAAAAGTATAGGTAACTTAAATTTCACATCAAACAACCTAAATCAACTTAACTGAATTTGAGACAAAAGCCCTAAAATATTGAATTAAAAATGCAAATATCTATTAAAACATAAGATAATAAATATTATAGGAACTTCAAAAGGGAAAAAAACAAGAACAATAAGAAATGGCATCATTACTTATTTAGAAGAGTTTTGAAAAAAAAAGAGTTGAAAACAAAAAAATTATTTCTTAATTATTGTTACCGAGGACTGGTTTTGTGATCGCCAAGAACCGGGAATTCCCGGTACTGTCGGTACCAGGATTTCCCAGTTCTGAACCCTATGGGATACCTTCATGCACTTTCATTTTGTACAGTGAGTTTTATCTGTATTATTAAATTTGTCTCATTATTCCAACAGGATATCTAATTCTTTAATTAAATTAAATTAAAAAATTAAATTAATTTAACATTATTTGTTTAGGACTTACCTAAATGTCCACCATATGTCCAGCGACATAATATTGACCCAGGCAAATGCGGACAAATTGAGAAAAATAATTAAATAAGCTGAAATCATATTAAAAATATATAAATTGTTTGGAAACATATATTCAAATTCAAAAAATATTTTTTATATGCAGAGTGTTCGGCGGCCAAATTTGAAGAGGTGATTCCTCATCAAAAAATATGGATAAAAGTAACATAATAAACATGGGTCATTTACAGTACAGGATGTTAAAGAAAACTGAAGAAACTTTTAAAAGATAGATTTTTTGTAATTACCACTTGCTCTTTTTGAACACCCTATATAATGTCATCATAATGTAAAAACCCCAAAAAAATGTTATATACTTTTTTTTTAATTCCTTACCTCTTATTTTGCAGTCTATCTTCAAAGAAGACAAATGCAAATGAGACACAATCAAGGTAGTTATCAGACAGAACATAGTCAAACAATAACTAATCAAAATCTTCCCAAAAGTTGACTTGATCTCATCCAGATAAACGTATATCCCAACAGTGATCACCAAAAAAACACAGGACAAAATTTTAGCCCAAAGAGTAAAAGTGAATTTTTCGGGAACTTCTTTGGAATAGCACATAAAAATGTGGTACCCCGAGGTGGAGCCTTTGGTGGCATGTTCCAGGCAGTAGTTCTTGAATTCACTCCAGTCTTCTTCCAGGAAGCTCTCACTGAAGTTGTAGTAGTAGCGGAATTTGCCATTTTTTGTTATAGTGTATTGGATTGTGTTCTTGCGGAGTAATGAGACTTGGGGGCATTTTGTGCCATAAATTAGTTCATACTCGTCTGAAATTTAAAGGAAATGTAAACAACTACACTCGGCAATTCTATTTAGATATACATAGTATCGTATGACCGAACAAAACCGGCGTCAGCGATGACTATGAAAAGACGATCGATGATATTTCCCATATAATTTTACATATAAAATGACAGCAATCTTCATGTCATAGCCATCGCTGACGGCGTTTTTATTCGATCATACGGTATTATTAATGTAATTTATTATCCTTTTTAGTGATGTAAAAAATGTGTAAAATTATTTGTCTTGTATAAAAATAACTATTTTTCAAGAACTTCAAGTTTTATTAAGTATGTCACATGCATATTTTTAATATTTTTAATAGTTGTGTCATTCAAAAGAGAATAGTTAATTGATGATATAACTTATAGATCTTAGATTAAGATCTATTTATTTTCGGTCACCCTATATAGATATATTAAATATTATTCAGTCATTAATCTAAGTATTTTAAAATTGCTAAAAAAATAAATATCACAGCGCTATAGAAATATTATTTATTAGTCTTTCGCTCTTATTTACATTTTTTATAAATTTTGTTAACGTTATACATACTTTACCAGAGTATATAACTGAAATTCATTAGTGTCTAATATTATATAGAATATTATAAGTTAATTTTTGAAAGTTAAAACTGATTTATTGAAGTTTAGATAATTCTTAAAATTAACCAGTAAGATTAACTTAACATATTATCTACTATATTAGAAAATAAAAATTAATTTTAAATTTACAAAAAAAAAATATATAAAAGAGAAAATAAAAGAAATTATATACAGGGTGTCCCAGGCTGAGCGTGCATTAGAAGTTTCTATAGAACTACAATATCTAGATCGGAGAATTTTGGCACATTATTATTTCACAATGAGATCTATCAATAAAAAATATTTTCAATATGGCGGCACTTAATAATAATAAAACTAAATCTTAAATAACTTAAAAACGATTTATTTTAGGTATAGGAACATGTATAATCAAAAAGTAACGAATTAAAAAACATTTTCACTAGTACAATAAAAAAGTAGGTTTCCATTTGAAAAAATTGTCTACATAATATATAAAATGCTGTTTATCTGTGTCGTCTCTACTGAAGTAACGAATTGCTCTAAAAGTTGCATTTTTTACTAAAAGATAGCTAATTGGCTCTTCTAAAAACTGTCGTCGCCGGATTTTTTGTTTTTCATTTAATTAAAAAAAAATAAAAAGTTGTTTTCCTGATGTCGTGGCGGATGCGCCAGGCTTCAACTAGTTTATGATAATTTTTTAATCTCTCAATTCTATGACTGCTACGGCCAATATTAGAATTTAAAGAATTAATTTTTTTAAATAGATAGTAACACATGTCTTCCCTTTATTTATGTCACTGTGGGTGTGCTAATTACTAAATTTGACTTTTGTTTCTTTCAAAAACTTTAAATATTTTTTTCTCAAAAACGGTTAATGTTAGGTATAGAGTTTTTAATATAAAAATTCATAAAATTCTATAGAGAATATAAATATGTCTAAAAAATTGGTACCTATTTAAAATAAGAAAGTTGTTGTCAACTTCAAGTATTTCCGGAAGTTGTCGCCATACTGAAAATTATTTTAATCGATAAATCTCATTGTGAACCTTAGTTGTGAACTATGTGCAAAAAATCTCCGATATAGATATTGTAGTTCTCCAAAATCTCCTAATGCACGCTTAGCCTGGGACATCCTGTATAAAAGACACGAAAATAGGACACACTGTACAGGGTGGGTCAAATTCGACGCTTTTAAATGGAAACACCCTTTTCTATAGGAGATAGACAAAAACTAATATCGGTGTCTGGAGCTCAATTTTTGTCAAAAACATGATGGTGAAAACCGCATATCGATATAATCTGTTACCGTTTCGGAGTTACGGGGTGTTTTTCAAAAATATGCATTTTTAACAAATCGCTGTGACTTTTTTACTATGGAAAATTTTGTATTTTTATGAAAACATTTCCAAAGCACCTTTTTACGTAAAATTTAATGGTTTAAGTATAATTTTTTTAAAATTAATAATTTAAGAATTATCAACAGAAAATTTGATTTTTTATATGGGACACTCTGTATATTTTTAATTTATTGAAAATAATTTAAAATTACCTTTCCAAAAATATAACACACTTGATATTTTGCTCGATTCCTCTTTGAGATACAGAGTATATAAAAATTCACCCGCTTTAAATAAGTAGGCTTTGAACGGCACAGGCTGTAATGCAAAAATATTCTAGCTGTGAGCATCAGTTAAAACGAAAATAATATTTGCTATAAGAGATGCAGAATTTTATAACGATTTAAAATATATTTAACCAACATCAACACAATTAAATCTAAGTAACGATAAAAATAAATAGCAAACCAAGACATGAGATTTTGCTACAGGTGTTCGACATATCGACCGTCTTCTATTATGGACAGACGGGGCAGTTTTTGAACATTTCTCGCGGAATTAATTAACTCAGTGGGGGTGAAAGATACCCTCTCTTAACTGCTAAGTATTTCTAATTCTTGTCTAGATTATACGGAAGAATAAGGAACCTTTATTCTTCCGCAAATATATCCATAGGATTAGATCCATGGGCACTAAGTCAGGCGGCCTCGACGGTCAACGGCTGGGATCTTGGTTAGCAATTCAATTATTCTTGAAATTGGCTGCAAAAATTTGCTGATAACTTCAACGTTCAGAGGCGGTGCGTCGTCTTGCTGGAAAAATATGTTTTCGAGATCCATTAAGGGCATTATCATCAATAAGGGGTCCAAAGCCTACTAGTTAAAAGTGGCGAACTTTTAAAAATTCTGTATTTCGAAGGGGATTATAACAAAATATCAAGTGCGCTATATTATTGGAAAGGTAATTTTAAATTCTTTTCAGTTAATTAAAAATATAGAGGGTGTCTCAAATAAAAAATAAATTTTTCTGTTGATAACTCTTAAATTGTTAATTTTAAAAAAATTATATTTAAACCATTAAATTCTACGTAAAAAGGTGCTTTGGACATGTTTTCATAGAAATACAAAATGTTATATAGGAAAAAAGTTACAGCGATTTGTTAAAAATGCACATTTTTGAAAAACACCCCGTAACGCCGAAACTGTAACAGATATTGATGTGCGGTTTTCACCATCATGTTTTTGATGAAAATTGAGCTCTAGACACCGATATTAGTTTTTGTCTATCTCCTATAGAAAAGGGTGTTTCCATTTAAAAGCGTCGAATTTGACCCACCCTGTACATCTAAATTCAACCAGTAAGTTATTTAAAAGATCCTTTATATACCTAATTCTAAATTCAAAAGTAAACCTAATTTAAGTTTCTGATTAACTACAAAATATATGTTTTTAATAAAAAAAAAGCTTACCAGTAACATCCTCAATAAAATCAGAATAATACTGCTCCTCCAATTTCAACCCATGCACAAAAGTATCCTTACAAAAACCCCCATTATAAAAACTCTGACCGTCAGGACAACACTTCTTAATACACCTCCTCTCCTCACAAACCTTCAAATCGTCCTCACACCTCCTCACGATATACCCTCCCTGGCTGTTTTTGTCCAGACAAAAATTCTCGTCTCGGACATCTTCAAAGTATTTCTCCACTGCATCCAAATTCTCCAGTTTTGTGTCTAGAATCACCTTACAGTGAGGAAGGCCTATTTTTATCAAACTGTAAGGTAAGTAACCTTCTGTGAGGTTTGTTTCTTTTGTGCATGAGCGATGAAGAGGGTTGTATGTGTGTTGTAAGGGACAGCATTTTTGATATGTTGCTTTTATGGGGTTCTTTGATAGGATCTTTCCTTTGTGGAGGTTATATACAAAAAAACCGTTGGTGTTTGAATCGGTACACTCTCCTTCAGTATTATTGAAAGAATCAGCATAAACTTGATATCTAGCACTAGTTTGGTTTCCACAAATAAACAGATCACCTGTATTTTCAGTAACTTCAGAATTTTCAGTGCAGCATTTTCTAATTTTCTCTGATATTACAAAATTAGTATAAATCATAAATAAACAAAACAAGAGACGCAGCTTCATGGCTAAAGAATCGCGAATTTTTATATGGATGCTTATAGTGTAGAGTCTGTATTATAACTGGCAAAAGTTGTGGAAAAGTGTCTGTGGCTTAGATGAGTTGAAAACAATGTATGTTCTGAAATAAGGTGGGATATTGTTGGAAACCAATTAATGTTATTGGTTGTTCTGTAATTTGAGTTGTAGTCTATTAATTTTTCTTGTGTTTTTACAAGGGTTTTGTTACATATTATTGTTAGAAAAATGAGAGTCAATATAATATGCTTTTCAGGAACTTCCTGTAGGTATTTGTTTCATAAATTTTATACATTTATTTTAATTGTTGACTTTATTATTTTGTAAATAAGTTATTATTAGTTTTTTTTTTATAAAAACAATAGCTTCTGCTTCTAACAACAAGTTTTTAATGTGCAAAATTTTAAATATACAGGGTGGTGCCTCTCATACGAGGTGTAGACTCCAATAAGAGCGGTATATAATTTGTATTAAAATGACATTTTGGCATTAATTTCATTATTTAGGTGATTGAAAACAAATTATAATCTAGAGTTCTATACATTGGCGTAACTAGAGGGTTGCCCGGGGGTGCCAGACCCCCCCCCAGGTACTGCTGGGCAGCCCCCGGAGAAATCCTGAATTATGACTCTTGGCTATGTATTAATTTTTATTTGCTTGTGATGTAGTAAAAATGACGTTTTCTAGTTTTGTTTAGTTAATATTATTTTGTTGTGTTCAAAAAATGTGTTAATTTTTATTTTCTTTAGAAAAATTGTAGGTATTTAAATAATCTACGGAAACACGGTTTGATAACCAAGTCTCTGAAATTTATTGATAGAAAAATTCATGTAAACGTGTTATTCAAAAAATGTGTTTTTCAAAATTATTTTTCATTAAAAAAAAACAAAGCCCTAGTCCCCCTCTGGGCTCAAACCCAGACCTCCCCAGGCCCCTCCCAGGATAGATTGCTAGTTACGCTAATGTATGTACAAGGTGTCCCCAAGTTACGCAAAGTTGTGTTTGTTGTAATGGAACACCCTATACAGGCTGCATCTGAAAAGTGGTTCACCCCTATAACTTTTTTATTTTCTCAGATAAATACATACATCATACATTTAAAAAAAACAATCAACATAAATTTAAAATCATCATTTAGTGAAACAATCAACATAAATTTAAAATCATCATTTAAATCATACATTAAAAAAAACAAGATTTTGAAATGGCACCCTCGGTATATTTCTACTTTATTCGATAGAAAATGATACTCTAAATAGAATGACATATCATATGTCAACTTATGACATTTTCACATCTGGTTTATTTAAAATTGTAAAATGCGGTTCATAAAGACAATTTGACTCGAAATACCAAGTGTGTGGTACCAAATTATTCGTAAAAAAATGCATTTTCCAAATATTCCAATAAACCACCCTTATTTCATTTGCAAAATTGAGATATGTTGTTAGTTTTCCAAGGCTCCTTGATTAAAAATTAGTGTTTTTAACATAGCCACTCTTGAATGAAATTTACAATACGATTTTCTTAAGCGAAAATGTCAAAAGTTGATATATGATATGCCATTTTATTCAGAGTGTCATTTTCTATCGATTACAGTCGAAATATACCGAGGGTGTCATTTAAAAATCAAAAGTTGTAGTCAATCAATCCTAATTTATGTCATAAACATAAGAAATCTCGTTTTTTTATTTGAAAAAATATAAAAGTTATAGGGGTGAGCCACTTTCGAGACGCACCCGGTGTAGTAATTGACATTTTAGAGAAAAATAAAGGTAAATTTCATTAAAGAAGCATATACAACTAAATTTAAGATTTTTGACATATCATATTTCACATTTTGTAAATAAAATGAAAAATAAACTTTAAATTTCGATAATTAAGTTCTAAATTTTAATTTACCCTATATATAGCTTGATATTTAGTCAAAATAATCGTTGTAGGTATGTTAAACCAAATTAGAATTTGACCCGAAAAGTTATACAAGGTAAAACAAAATTAATATTGAACATTTGTCAATTTTAAAAGCAAGTTATTCTTTTAATTTAAGTGCAATAACACCCAGTATAGTATTCCTATATTCAAAGAAGAATTCTTGCTTCTTTAAAATACCGTATGATCGAGAAAAAACGGCGTCCAGTTGGCTGGGAAATGAAGATCGCTGTCATTTTATAGGTAAATTTATATGGGAAATGTCATAGACCGTCATTTCCCAGCCAACTGGACGCCATTTTTTTTCGATCATACGGTACTATTAAGGTTAAACACTACTACATAACACACAATATTTATTCAAAATCTCTCAAAATATTACAACATTGATATTGTTTCTATCACAATACAAAGAATGTTTAAAAAGTTAGTAGGTATAGATTTTTATAATAAAATTTCAAACATTGTGAATAAGTTCTTAAGCTTCGTCTAAGTTTGTCCTTGTATTCTGCTTTTTGTTCATTGGACAGAAGCTAGTAGACTGAGTGGTGCATGAAGAATGGCTGGCACTCTGTCCACTGAAGCTCAATCTCTTCTTCAATTTGTTGAATGTTTTTCTTTTGCATATGAAGATGAGGAAAATAAATGTACCTAAAATATATAATTAGTAATAAAAACTATATTTTTAATTATTTCTCTTAAAGACTTTTTATTATTATTCTTTTGTACATAATATTATTCTTTATAGCTTATTTTACTGTTCTTCTAACATTGTTTTCGTAAAAACAATGCTTCTAACATTTTTTTTTTAATTTTTTTGACGATTTGGTGAAGGTATTATAATTACACGACAAGGCTTGCCATTATTACATTAAATTAAATACACTTAATATCAGTACACATTATATCATAAACATTATATGTATAAAATATTGCTTAAAACATATTTCTTTGTGTTTTAAAAAACTTGTTCTACAAAATATATTTTCTTTATTGTTTATTAAAAAAAATTGTGTAATGCAAGGGCGCATATACGGGAGGGGTAATGGGGGTAATTACACCTCCCAGAAAGAAATTAATTAATAAGATAAAATTTGGTATAAAATAAAATTGTTACAAAAAAGTTAATAATACAATTTAAAACAGAATATCCAAACCAATCCAAGTAGATTTTTTTCCACAGTTAAAATACCTTCCAGCAAAAATTTAATTCAAAGTTAGTACTTTTTTGAATATTCACACTACCCCTCCCAGACTCAAACTCTAGATGCGCCACTGGTCCTATGACATAGGATACAACATTTTAATGAAGAGTTCTTTCCATAAAATCAATAAAATGAAAAATATACGAAATAATATACATGTACTGATTTCTTTCGAAAATCGACAACTATGAAACTATGAACCCTTTCCGGACACAAACGGTACATTGTGAAATAGGAAATTGTAGAGAGAAACAAGCTCTATAACATAGGATACATACATACGACATTTTAATGAACAGTTCTTTCCATAAAATCAATAAAATGAAAAATATACGAAATAATATACATGTACTGATTTCTTTCAAAAATCGACAACTATGAAACTATGAACCCTTCCCAGACACAAACGGTACATTGTGAAACAGGAAATTGTAGAGAGAAACAAGCCCTATAACTTAGGATACAACATTTTAATGAACAGTGCTTTCCATAATATCAATAAAATGAAAAATATACAAAATAATATATGTACATGTGCTGATTTCTTTCGAAAATCAACAACTATGAAACTATGAACCCTTCCCGGACACAAACGGTACATTGTGAAACAGGAAATTGTAGAGAGAATCAAGCCTTATAACATAGGATACAACATTTTAATGAAGAGTGCTTTCTATAATGTCAATAAAATGAAAAATATACGAAATAATATACATGTACTGATTTCCTTCGAAAATCGACAACTACGAAACTATGAACCCTTCCCGGACACAAACGGTACGTTGTGAAACAGGAAATTGTCGAGAGAAACAAGCCCTATACTGTAATGTAACACATAATACACAGTATGACACAAATAAACCACAAGAAATGCAGAATATTTATATGTTTAGCCTGTGCTATTTCTTATAGAATGAGTTAATTTATCCAAGAGTACACAAAGAAAAATTTTTATCAGTATTATACCAATATTAAAAAATAATTGTTGACAGAATGGTGAAGGTATCATATATTTTAATATTAAGCAGTAAAAAATAAATCTATTCACCTTGTAAGCATATCAAATTATCCAAAACCACTTCCAGGTATTTAGTAAATGCGTTGTAAGAATGCATTTTAGTAAAAAATGCAGTGGCTACCTCAAAGATCCATATCACACCCATAACAATGCCCAGCTTAATGATAAGCCCTAGCCTAGAAAAAAAAGGCAAATTGAATATTAAAAAAAACTCTTTCAAATCTTTTATCTTATTCATCTAATATTTTAATATTAAAATTGCATAAAATTGAAACAAGTAATACAATAAAGCCTTTCTAGTCTTAAATTTAATTAATAAAAAAATTTTACAACAAATATTTTTGTTGAATTAATATTTGTATTTTTCTTGCATGCTGACAATATACAGAGGGTCGCTTTTATGTATGGAAACGGTCGATTATTAGGTAAAATATACAAGGTACCTACCGCAAAAAGTTAAATACAAAAATTATAGCGTTTTTAAATGTCTATTGGCGAGTAATAAATTTATACAGGGTCGCTCATAAAATCGTGGCACATCAAAATTTATTTTTTTAATAGAACCCCCTGTATATTATTGCATATTTCAATTCTTCCTTCAATTCTAAGCAAAAATCGAAATACACATAATGTACCTCAAACCAACCGTTTCCGAGTTATTGGCTTTTGAACATATCGCTAAAACAATTTGATTTAATTAATATTGATATGTCCAGTTTCATTTAATGATGTCATTCTGCCGAAACTGTGATACTGTTGTTGGGAGGGAGTTAAAAATTTAAAAAAATCGTAACTCCAAAATTACAGTAGCTATCGAAACGCGGTTTTCAAATTAAGATTAGGAATAATATTTGCAACAAAATTTGTAATAACATCAAAATCAGTCAAAGTCGCAGTTTTTGAGATATTAACATATTTTAGTATGGGCGGCTATACGTGCTTCCCGGTGCCAATTTTTTTTTTCATTTTTAATTTGGGGATTACAATAAAAATGTAGAGATGTTTTTATTTCTTTATTTTATATTACCTTTCTTTGGCTACTGAAAACTTTCCATTTCCATTATCTTTTGACAAGTCGTTTAATCTGTTAATGTCATTTTTAACTTTGATGCAGTAGATTATAGTTTTTACAAACAAGGTTGTATTGACAACTTGAAAAATGAGTTGAGGCAATAGAAAAAACACAATTGGTGCATAGTTACCTAAAAAAATACAAAATTTTATTAGTGATATAATCATTTAATACTACTAAAAATGATTATAATAGAAATGGGCAAAAAATCACTGGCTGTGAATATTTTCACAGTGAAATACAACCAGCAATTCACAGTTTCTAACAAATTATAAAAAAAATTGTAAAACTTGAATGACACATAGATCGGTAATAACCTGTGAATTCACATTCACGTGTTATTTTCACAGCGAATACATAATCACGGTCACGACAGATATAACCTGTATATGTGAATTCACGTTTTAGGGCAACTTTATATACAGGGTGAGTTTTAAATAAGTGCAAATATTTCTAAGGGTGGTATATTATTCCAGAAACACCTCTATGATTTTTTTTTTCAAAAAAAAAATTGAAAATTTGATATTTTTCTTAACATTTTTTGAAATTTTTTAAATTTTTAGTTAAAAAACTTAATATCTCGATATTATGGTAACAATCAAAGATAGAAAATTATATTTACAAAAAAGAAAACACATAAAAATATCAGTGGTTCTCAAAATCAACAATTTTGCAAAAAATATTTTTTTTTCAATTTTCAAAATAAAATAACTCGGTTTCTTTTATTGAGATCTACCAGCCCTGAAAATATTTGCACTTATTTAAGACTCACCCTGTACAATACTTACGGTTTTCCAAACTGCAGAAAAATATGCCCACATAAGGTTGGATAACTTTTGGTAAGAAAGCAGTATTTTCAAGTAATAAGATTAGCAGTGCTAGAGAGATGGGCATGCCCCAACCATAGAGAAAGTACAAAAGAAATTTCTTCAATTCCTTTCTTTTCTGGTCACTTCCGATCATTCTTTTTGGTGTACTAAAACAGAAAAGATATATGAAAAATATTAGTTTATTCTCTTGTTAATAAAACTTAACTTAGTTAAAGCATTTAGCAAAACATAGACACCCAAAATCTCATTCAAATCGAAATAACGGTTTTTAAAATATTTAAAAAATGTGTTTATTTTTTTTTAAATTTGATGTCCTCTAGCGGACAAACGAAGCACTTTTGTATAGAGATAAATTGTGTCGAATGAATTTATTTTAATTCCAAAAATACGTAGTAGTTCTATATCCACGAAATATTGGGACACCCTGTAACTGGTAGTAAAGTTTAACCCCAGAAACACGCCTATGAGGTTTTTTTCGCGAAAAAAAAATTTAAAATTCGAAGTTTTTTGAAAAAAATTTTAGAATTTTTTTTAGCTAAAAACCATAATTTATTGATAATATGGCAACCATTTATGTATGAGATTAAATTTACAAGAAAGACAATCCAAAAAAGATCCAGTGGTTCTCAAAATTATAGAAAAAAAATATTTTTTTTGGAAATTTTCAAAGTAAAATAACTCCGTTATAAAGAGAAAATATGTTTCTTTTGTCGAGATCTACCACCCCTTAAAATACTTGCACTTATTTCTGGGACATCCTGTATAACTTACCTAAATGTCCACCAAATGTTTAAGGACATAATATTGAACCAGGCAAATGAAGCCAGCGTGAATATGATTATAAAATAACCTAAAACAGAATTATTGTTAATATAATGTTGAAAAATATTGCTTTTTGTTAAAAATTATTGCGCAGAAGCCAAAAAGAAACTAGTGCAGTATTATCCTGTAATTTTTTTGAAATTGGGATGAACATACAAGTATTTTATTGTTAAAGCATACTGCCGGGTCCAGACCAAGCAGACAAAACAACGACAAGACAGAAACATTTATGTTTTACGACAAAATTGCGACAAATTCAATACATTTCTGCGACATTTTTGTCTCATTTTTGTTTTGTTTCAAAATTCGGAGACTTTTTAAAAGTCAGTCAGTAAAGATCAAAGTGTCTATGTTTTATTCGTATATTTTACAAGTTGTCGGCGCAGTGTGCTGCCAACACTAGACCAGTGAAATCACACATGATTAATAAAACTCATTCGCAACAACTAAACTTTTGACTTTGTTGTACAGGGTGGCGCCTCTCATACGCCGCGGCGGCTCCAAGGAGAACGCCAGTTTGTATTGAAATGAAATTTTGTGAGCATATGTAGGTTAATTCAGGGCACTTTTTAAAATAGAGAGTTCTACAGGGTGTCCCCAAAAAAAGTTACATATCAAAGTTGTGTTTTTTGTAATGGAACACCCTATATATTAATTGATTTTCGGATTCTAGGAGAAAAATAAAGGTGAGTTTTATAAGAGAAGTATATGACTAAAATGTAAGGTTTTTTAACAATTTACATATTTAACATTTTCTAGAAATAAGGAACAATTTTTAAATTACAATAAAAGCTACCCATATTGGAAGTTACCCGGTGTAGCCTAATATGTAGTTAAACTAACTATTCTACTTCAAATCAAATTAAAACTTGATCCGAAAAGTTATACAGGGTGAGACAAAATTAATATTGAACAATGGTCAACTTGAAAAGCATCTTACTCTCTTGTTTTAAATGGAACACCCAGTATATTATTCCGATATTTAATGGAGAATTTCTGTCTCTTCAAAATACTATTAAGGTTGCCTACCCCTTAAACAAAGATTTTCCTAGATATTTTCATTTACATGATTTGATCTGAGTAGATCTTTATTATTTGATAAAACCTAGCTGGCTGTGATATGTCTGACGTTACTTCAACATAGCTGTCTAATTAGTTCAACTTTAATAACTAATTATAATTTTTGTCAGTTAAAAAAAAATTCTCAGGAATTTGCCGAAAATTCAAACTTATCCTACATCAGAAAGAATTGATATGATTCTATTAGTTGGTGAATGCAGTGTGCATTCACCAATTAATAGAATAGTTAAATGCTCCTGATTTTATCTAGTCTGGGTTTTTATGGGGATATGTTAAAGACAGTCTTTAAAAACTCAACCAACTAGTGTCGACAGCATAAGATAAATTATTGCAGCTGCTTTTTTCAGATAGAACTCCACATATGCCTTTTAAAATGAAAAGATCCTTTTGAAAAGACAATCATTTTATGCAATTAACAGGAAAGGAAGCATTTTGAGCATTTGATTTCATCCAGCTAATTTTTGTCGCATAATTATAGATTTATATCTAGTTTTAATTCTGTAATAATTAAAATATGTTTTAAACGTGTATTTTTTATTACCCTTGATTATTTTACTCCACAATCTTTAATTTTTGTTAAATTAATAAAGGTATACCACACAACCTAGATTTTTTCAAATAATTAAGATTTACTGACGCAAAATCATAAAAATTAAAATATCTGGGAAAATCTTTGTCTGACGGGCAGGCAACCTTAATAATATTTTGAAGATATATAAATTCACCATTGAACACCGGAAAAATATACTGGGTGTTCCATTTAAAATAAAGGAGTAGCTTGCTTTTAAAAGTACTAATGTTCCATATTCATTTTGTCTCACCCTGTATAATTTTTCGGGTTAAATTTCAATTTGGTTTAACATACAATGGTTACTGTAATTAAATATCAGGCTATACAAGGTCAACTAAAATTTAGGTAGCTGTTATCGAAATTTAAAATTTACTCTTTATTTTCACAAAATGTGAAATATGTCAAAATCCTTAGATTTTAGGTATATGCTTCTTTAATAAAACTCACCTTTATTTTTTTCCTAGAATCCGAAAATCAATTAATATATAGGTTGTTCCATTAGAAAAACCAAAACTTTGATGTGTAACTTTTTTTGGGGACACCCTGTATAATTCTATATATTTTTATAAAATGCTTTCAATTAACCTACATATGTTGCCAAAATTTCATTTCGATATAAACTACCGTTCTCCTTGGAGCTTCCGCGGCGTATGAGAGGCGCCACCCTGTATTTTTGTCCTTGCGGTGTGGACAATTTGTCTCAAGTTTGTCTTGTTTTTGTCTCAAAATCGTGTTTACTTTTTGTCGCCTTGGTCTGGACCCGGCATAAAATTTGATAAAATAAAGAAAACGTTAATATAAAATACCTCTTAATTTGCACTCCAGTCTAGTAGGCAACACATCAATCTGAGACACCATCAATGTGACCATCAGCAAAATCACATTGACGCAATAATTTATCAGTATCTTCCCAAAGGTATTCTTGGTCTCACCGACCAGGAAATAAATCACAATGGTAAAAACCAGAAAAATACACGACATGATCTTAGCCCAAAGGGTGTGGGTGAACTTAACATCAATTTCTTTAAAATTGTAACAAGTGAATAGGTAGTACCCGTAAATGCTACCTTTTTCGGCATGCTCGAGGCAGTAGCTGTAAAAATTAAAGACGGGCTCCTGAACGAAACTTTCGCTGTAGTTGTGGTAGTAGATGAAGGTACCGTTTTGGTCTATTCTATATTGGATGGTGTTGTTAAAGTTTAGACGTACCTTTGGACATCCTGTACCATAAATAACTTCGTAGTCATCTGAAATATTTTATTATATTATACAGGGGGTTTCAAAAGACATACTCTATCTCTCGTAAAATAAGATTTATTTTTATATAAACATAGGTCCGATTCTGCTTTGTTTCATAGCTACAGGGTGTTAAAGTCTTAAAATATTTTTTCGATTTATTAAAATTTTCCTTCAAGTACTTTTAGCGTTTCGAATTAAATTTTCAGGATAAAAGTTACTACAAATGCGACATGTTTTAAAGCTAAAAAAGTGTCGAAATATTCACCAGGGACGTGCATATGGGTTATCACTGGAATATTTTTCTAAATAAGTATGTACGCCACTGACGTTTTTCTCTTGTTAGCGAAATAGTGTAAGCAGTTTAATGCCGATTTGAAAGTTGTCTCTTGATATTTTGTCGATTTCGGCCTCCTTGATGAGATAAACGCAATTTTATTAATTTGCCTTGATTCAAGTCTAATTATTAGCAACCTTTAAAAATTTTAATATCATTAACTTGCGAAAGTTTAAAATAAGTGCTCATTAATTCTTCATCAAAAAATATGAAAAAAAGTTCCTATAAGCATGGGTATGGGAATGCATAGTTTTAGAGTTACAGCATGATAAAACTTTTTAAAATTATAGGTTTTCTGTAATAATTATCTTAACAACCACTATTTTTTATTTGAAATGGCTTTGTAAGTTGGACTAATAGTAATAATAACTAAAAGTAATAATATCTAATCATAAATTAGGTAAAATATATAATTTATTAATTTTATTTATATTTTAATTTTATTAATTGGGATTAATAAAATTGCGTTTATCTCATCAAGGAGGCCGAATTCGCAAACAAAATATCGCTAAAAGCACTTGGAAGAAAATTATAATAATTCGAAAAAATATGTTAATATGAATAATGTGAAAAATAAATCTTAATTTTACGGGAGATGGCACGTGTTTTTTGCAACACCCTGTATAAACAAATTTTTGTAAGAATTCGCATCCAATGTATCCACCGGTTAATACAAAACATGCTTACAAATGTTTGCAAATAAATTTTGATATAATCCAAGACTAAATACAAGACAGTTTTGTTGTGTACCTTGTAGGTATTCCCTTTCATTATCTTTATTGTAGCTATAAACAGGGTTCTTAAAAAACACATGCTAATTCTAAGAATAGATTTCTGTAATTATTTTTTTTCCTAATATGTATTATAATGATCCATATTAAGAAATAATAAAATTATTTGAATTTTAATAAATAACAAAAACTAAAGCACAAAAATGTAACGTATGAAGACAGTGTCTAAAAATAAATAAAACGCTCCTAGTTATACAAAATATGTTCTGTAATTTATCATATCGATGATCGTTTTAATTAAGGTTTTAATATGTAGCACGTTCAGCAAACAAACACTAAAAAAATAATGCATACTAACCAACGAATATTGGAATATTAAAATTGGATATTCTTCTGTAAATATATTTGCCACTAATATTTGCTATTATAATACAGAGTGTCCCAGAAACAAGTGCAAGTATTTTAAAAGGTGGTAAATCTCGATAAAAGAAACATATTTTCTCTTTATCGCTTTTCAAATAAGTCTAAAATATCGGAGTTATTTTGATTTGAAAATTTCCAAAAAAAAAATAATTTTTTGCTTAAATTTTGAGAACCACTGGATCTTTTCTGGATTTTCTTTCTTGTAAATTTAATCTACTACCTATGTTGCCATATTATCACGAAATTATGTTTTTTTAACTAAAAACTAAAAAAAAATCCAAAATATTCTGAATTTTCAAATTTTTTTTAAGCCATATTGACATCAAAATCAAATTTCTCACATCAAAAAACTCCCAGACACCAAGTTTCATCCAAATATTGATGTTACTTCAGAAATTATTTGGAAAAAATTAAAATAAAATTGAAACTTCTACACCCTGTATCTCCGAAACTAAGCATTTTAGGGCACACATTTATACGAACTTTTTTTATTTATTTCTATCTGCAGAATATGCTGCCGAAGTTTCCGGAATACAGTTCGGACCACCCTGTATATTTTTTGATGAGGAATCAATGGAGCACTTATTTAATACTATAGCCAGTTAATGATATCGATGATATTTATTGGAATTAGATGATATTGATTGGAAGAAAATTATAATAAACCGAAAAAAAATGAAGGTTTTTTTAACCCCCTATAACTACGAAACAAAGCAGAATCGGACCTATATTGGTTTAAAAAATAAATCTTATTTTTACTTAAGGAATCTCCCTACGAGAGACGGCACAGGTTTTTTTAAAACACCCTCTATAAAAAATTCACTGTTTAAATTTATTAAATAAAATTACATACCTTTAATATCATCAATGTAAGGTGAATACGACTGATTCTCAGTCACCATCCCAAAAACATAAGTATCCTTACAAGTACCACCTCCAACATAACTCTGTCCTTCCGGACAACATTTCTTGAAACACCTCTTCGTTATACACACCTCCAGATCATTCTGGCACTCCCTCATTACATATCCATCACCAACACTCTGATCCACACAGTACTCTCCATCTTTGGTACTTTTTTCAACCATTAAATCCTCTAATTTTTCGAATTTTTTGTCAAAAATAACGACGCAGCTTTTTAAACCCACTTGTATCAAAGAATTCGTGAAAAAATCTTCTTTAGCTTCTTTTGAGGGTATACAAGATCGTGTTTTTGTATTGTAGATGTATCCAACAGGACAACACTTAGTAAAATTGGAGTATATTTGTGTTTTGTTGGTGAATTTGTTGTTTTTTGCGTCAAAAATATAAAAATCTTCACTTGTTGAATCTATGCACTCTCCATCGAGTTTAGAAGAGTTATAAAACCCCGAAACATACACTCTTTTAGTGTTTTTTTCGACGCATTTTGAACCAAACACTTCATATCCATTTTCACAACACTTTTCAATGATATTTGCTGCAAAAATTTGCGAAAAAATGACAGAAATAATAGAAATAACAACTAACAAGTGCATCGCGAATCTAATTCAAGGTCTAAAAACAAACACAAAATTGTATACGGTGTTCTGTTTAAACTTTAACGACAAATAGACTGAGCTTTCTTAAGCTTTGCTGTTTTATTTCAAATCTAAACACTTTGAATGTGATGTGGCTTTGGGTAGGGGCTGGTAAACGTTTTTCTCTAGAGGATTAAGGGTGGTTTTAGGGGGTGGGAAGGTAATAAAAACATGGGGGTAAGGGATTAATTTACGACAGGAACTTGGCTTTTTGATTGGTTCTATTGTAAATTTTATTGGAGGTAGGGGAAGGTAGTGTAATGGAATTCGTGGAAGGTCGAGGCAAAAAAAATATCGAAAATTTGATTTATGATAAAAACAGTTTTGTTAAATTAAACTTACTTTGTGCTAAGTATCTTTTGCAATATTGTCAATAATGCCGAATTAGATCAATAGTTTGCGTTTGTTAGTCACAAATTTTGTTTATATCTAAAATAGTTAAATTAAAGCGTTTAATCTACGACAATGTCATTATGACACATTTAACATTGTCATTTGGATGTCATTTTTTGCACTACTCTTTCTTCATAATAGTACTAGTGCTATTATGAATTCACAATAACACGCAAATTTTAAAATAAGAAACAAACAAAAAAAGGTACCTAAATACGTTTATTTATTGTAAACATTAATTATAATATCAGTACAATTGGTTAAACTAATTCCAGACGATGACAGGTGAGTTGCATTTTTAGAAAGTAAATTTATTTCCTGAGTGCTTGAACTTGTTGAAGACCAGAACTTGTTGAAGACCATCATTGCCAGAAATGTTACCCAAAATATTTCATAACACTTTTTTCTTATGTTGTTTGGAATTTTCTATATAGCTCTCTGCCACTGTGTTAGAGCGCCAACCACCATGTCTTTTAACAGTTAATAAATCCACTCCTGAATCTGCAAGGCAAAAGTGTAAAATCTATTGACACACACTGTTCATTCACGCCGGTTCGAGGCCGGATGAGATCGGATATCTCGTGAGTAAGAGTCGATTTAGACACTTGCCAAGTCGGTAGGCCATTGACCATGATATGGCCGAGGACCGCGGTTCGGATTCCGCGTAAACAAAGTGGGCCCCGTCCAGACTAGCCCTGGCAGCAAAAAGGAGACGTTAACTGAAATCTTTACTTTACTTTTTCAAAACTATATTAGGTATATTTTCTTTAGATGGTCTATACTTACTTTGCTATAAATATCGTAATTTTAAATCACACAGGGTGTTTAAAATTCTACGTGAAATTTTCTAAAATATGAAATAATTTTTTCTTTGTTTTTTTAACACCCTGTATATTATTTTATTAGATGGAGTATTAAAAATGAGCAGTTTTGTATTTAGAGTATTTCAAAACTTTTAACGGCTTTGCAGATACTCGACGTATTATCTCATATTTATGGCTCTTTCAACGGTAAAATACGAGAGAAAAATCATTGAGTGGCTGTGATAAAAATTTACTGTGGAAAATATAAAAGCGCTCCCTAGCCGACTTTGACGCCGTTTTTTTCTCGATCATAAGGTACTTTATGCGAAATGTGGCGATAATACAATGGCGATGTAAATAAAATCCTGTTGTATTTATAAATAAATATGTTAGAAACACTTTAGGTTTACTTATTTTTTCTGAGCTATTAGAATATAATCCGTAGAGGGTATAATAAAAGTGTAAATCTATTATAAAGGTTTATTACTTTGTAATTTACCCTGTATATTAAGCTGTAGGTAAATAATCGGAAATAACTCATTATCAGTAATTGCATAGTAGTATAATCTCAAATGATAATCGACAATGAAATACGGTAAACCTAGCTTTATTATGCGTTTAAATTTTATAGAACTCCAAGTAAATTTTTAAAATTTTTAAATTTTTAAAATTTCTCTAACACATCCGAGTGTCATCTCGTTGATTCATCTGTTTTCGTGTGAAAATCGCCAAGCAAGCCACGACTTCCGAATGTTTTTGCATTGTAGCGTTGACAGAATAACACTAAACTTAATTAAATCCATCGAAGTAACATATAAACCACAACTACATGGATAAATATTTAGATTTTGACCATATTAAAACATTTACCCTGATTGACTGTACTAGTACGGCATATATCTATACTAATATATAAAATCCTTAAGTGACTGACTCACTGATTAATCACGATCCTGCTCAAACCACTCAACGTAAGAAGCTCAATTTTGGCATACAGGTTGATTCTAGGGTGTAGTTTTTTTTTCCATAAGAAGGGGCCGTCCTCTGCCGGAAACACTGCGACCTGTGAGGCCTATTGTGTTTGTCCCCCTTCTATATCTTCACCCATTCTTCTATCCCTTTGCCCTGCACTAGCTTATGCAGGTCCTTGATAGGATGGGAGCATAGTTCCTCCGGTTCTAGCCTAGCTTTCTAAAATAAAAGTGTCGCTTGTGATCCAGAGCCTCGCAGTGACATATTATGTGCTCTGCTGTTTCAGGATCTTTATCGCAGAGTCTGCAGCAAAGACTTCCCTGATACAGGTTGAGCTTGTTCAGGTAACACTTGGCAGTCATGTGTCCTGTCAAGAGGCCTGTTGTAATCCGCACTTTATTCCTGCTAAGCATTAGCAGTTCTTTTGCAGTTTTAGAGCTTGGATAAAAGCCTTGCTGTACCTATACCCCTGTCTGTTTCTCCAGTGGACATTCTGCTTTTCCCTGATCCAGAGTTTTAGCGCACTACGGGCCATACATTTGGGTATTCCCAGTACTGGCTCTGGACCAAGATAGGATGCCGATGATCCCTGCCTAGCTAGCTCATCGGCTTTTTCGTTGCCTTGGATGCCGCTGTGGCCCGGCACTCAGAATAATTTAATTCTTAAGGGTGTAGAGGTTCGATAAGAAGGGATTTTTCGAAATTCCAGTTCCAAGAGGATGAAACCACAAATATTACAATATTTTTTATTTAAAAAACGGTCAAGTTTCCGAAAAAAAACGCTTAAACGCGTATATTTTATTTTGTTTTTTTACATAATTTAAGATTTTTTAAAAATGTATACAGGGTGTTTCGAAAAATCTGGTCATTGATTAATCACGATCCTGCTTAAAGCGCTTGACGTAAAAAACTGATTTTTGGAAAACAGATTGACTTTAGGGTGTAGAGGTTCGATAAGAAGAGATTTTTCGAAACTCGAATTCTAAGGGGGTGAAACTATCCCTCAAATATTAAAATATTTTTTATTTAAAAACCGGTGAGTTTTTCGGAAAAACTCTTAAATACGTATATTTTATTTTGTTGTTTTACATATTTTAATATTTTTAAAAATTTATGCAGGGTGTTTCATAAAATATGACTATAGAGTAATCACGATTCTGCTTAAACTGCTTGACGTTTAAAGCTGATTTTTGGCAAACTGTGGTGTGTAGAGGTTCGATAAGGAGGGGTTTATCGAATCTCAAATTCAAAGAGGGTGAAAACGCCCCTCAAATATTCTAAATAAAGACATAATTTAAAATTCCGTTACAATGCGGAAATAGATTGAAGTTTTGTGATTGCAGTGATATATAATTTATATGGTTTTGTAACAAATTGCTTGCTATTTTATGGCAAATACTGAAGCTCTGCAAACCTTAATCAAAGCACGTGTGTTTGGAATTTTGGATGTGGCTTAACAGGTCAGGATCGGGCTAAGCCTAGGCAGATTTCTGAAATACTTATAACATATATTTCCTTCGACCACACACAAACTTTACCCGAACCCTGAGAGCGACCCGAACAGTACAGCGTAATAGACTCTTAAGAGATCAACTCATTTATTGAAAATTAATAATGCATAGATACGATAGAGATATGCCAAAAATCACTACCTGTGATATTTTCACAGTGAAATAAAAAGAACAGTTCCCAGCTGTAAACAATTTAAAAATAAATTGCGAATGAGTAAAATATAGTGACCGCTAGGCGGAGTTCTCTAAAATTCTTTATTTAGAAGTGTAATGGCAAAACAACAGTCCGTCCCTGTAAAAATTTACCTAAGTCCAAAATCGCATATCACCCTATAAGATTAACATGGGCGCTATTGGATTGCACGCTCTATATATGCGCAGATTGAGATCGTCCGCTTAATTTACTGTATATCCTTGCGATTTTTTAAGATTATAAAATTTTTTTTTTTTCTACGACTAGCCTAGAAAATGCAGTTTGACACACGGAAAACTCGATCTGAAATTGGCGTTTTGCAAACTGTTGTGTGCTAAGGATTTAGCCTATTGATTTAGCGCACGACATGTGTCATTTTGAACACGACATGTGCTAATTTTAACATTTTTAAACTCTAATGTTTAGCTGAAACGCCAAACGCAACGCAGCCGTCAGAAAAGTGTCATCATTACATCGCAAATTATTTCACAAAACTGGCAAAAACAGAGTGAGTCTGCTGCTAATTTGTAGTCCTACAAAATAGTATATTAAACAACGAGTTTCGAAAACGACGTTTTGCACACGAGTTCGACAGTTTGTTGGCTCGAGCCGCAGGCAAGAGCCACAAGTCGAACGAGTGTACAAAGAAGTTTTCGAACGAGTTTAAAGTATTAAAATAAATAAAGGAAACAAGTTTAGATTGGAATACGCCGCCAAAACGTATAATTGTTTTGGAGCGCATACGTTGTAGGGCGCTGCTATAGCGGTTGCTAAGAACAACCGCAAACAAGAACAGAAATAATTTTCTCTTGTCAAAGTTAGAACCTTCAAAAATTATAAAATCTTTCAAAATTTAAACCGGCCTCATTGAAAAAATACCGAAAAGTGTTCAAAGCATCCATTTTCAAAGTAATTATTGCTATCTTGTGAGTTTAGTTTAAATTTCACTTACTCAAACCCGTGATAATTGTGAAAAAGTAGCATTAAAAACTTAAAAAGCTGTGTGAACTGTGAACTGCAAAAACCATCGTGGGTCGTGGCATAACGTCGGTTTCCAATGTTTCATAGGTATTTCATACATGTCCTTATATAAAATAAAGTTTCTTATATGCAACACACTGTATTTTATATAAAGAACTAAAAGAAAATAATAAATTTGAATAAATAATATTTCGCGACATAATTGCGGAAAAAGCCGAACCGCTCCGAAATGATATTCGATATATAATTACTTACAATCTACCTATCACATTTAATGTTTTTATATTATGTGCAACGCTTAAAATTGTTTAAAATAGCATGTTCTATTCGGAGAAAAATGACTTTTTGTGTCTCTACTATTAATTGCCTCGTATCTGAATCTGTGAAAAATTCTTTTTTGGTTGGATTTTGGATGTTTGCATATAAACTTGAATATAAGATTTTTGTCAAAATAAAGTAAAATAAGTGTAAAATGTTTATTTATTAATGCTTTTTTTATAAATAACAATAAAAAGTAATTAAGTACAATATAAAGGCGCTTGGACTAGATACATATTCATAATACATATAAATTCTTATTTTTATTTTGTTATACATGTACGTAATATGTAATTCTGGAAAAAATCATCAATAAAAAAAAGTTTTTATTTGCCCATTAATATATACTTATATCATATATAAATATTTTTTGTAATAATTGGAAATACATATACAATTTACAGTATAAAAATTATTGTTTATATATAATATTAACTCTTAATACAGAATAAACAGATACAAAATTAAAATCAAAATAGAGAGAAAAAAAAAATTGAAAGGAAAATTATATTATATTTCTAGATAAATATAGCAAAATATTATTACTAAAATTATTCTTATGATGTAATCACCTGAGTTTAAGAGCAGTCCCTATAATAATTAATCTTAATAATTTAATATTTAATCTTAACTCTTAATATAAAATTAAAGTAATAAATTATTACAATTGGAGATCTTCTGCAAAAAGCTGACAACATTCTTTTAGAACAAAATATTCCTTACAAATCAAAATTTAATTATTTTTGCAGAATAAAAAATGATTGGTACAAGTTATCTTAATATTTATTGACAAGTTCTTCTTAAATAATTGGTATTTATAATTTAGGACATATTATTATTTTAAAATATACAGGATGAGTCTTAAATAAGTGCAAATATTTTAGGACTAGTAAGTTATAATGAAAGGAACATATTTTTTTTTACAGTTTTTCGAATAAGTCCAAAATAAGCCACCCCAAAGATATTTGCAGTTATTTAAGACTCGCCCTGTATATAGAAATATTCTTTGACACGAAGCATGAATAAAGGTTTGATAAAATTATCATTATAAAAATACTAGTGACAAAAACTACATGCCTAAATTATCTAAAAAATCATTGTAGGTAATTTTCATATTTTTTTTTATACAAATAACCGATCAGTTTTAAATGCACTGGTTATATTATTAAATTATATATTTTTTCAAGAAAGAAATTTTTTTTTATTACTTGCTCTAGAAAGTTGCTTTTTTTACTAAAAGATAGCTAATTGGCTCTTCTAACAACTGTCGTCACCGGATTTTTTGTTTTTCATTTAATTAAAAAGAAATAAAAAGTATTTTTTCCTGATGTCGTGGCGGATGCGCCAGGCTTCAACTAGTAATGTTATAAACATTAAAAGTTGTTATGCCAGATTTTTTTCATGTTTTAGATGGTATGCATCTAATCTTCCTTTTATAAGATTCAGCTCTATAAAAAATAAATTGTCATAAAACCTAAGCACAGCTAAACACTAGCAAATTTAGTGTCCATCGCATAATCAACGTTATGCTGAGTCCTAATTATTTTTTTGTCATTGTGATTATTTAATTTTGGCCTTAAGCATAGTTGACACAAAGTCGAAAATTAAATGACACCAAACTAGTATTTTTTTAAGATTTAGTGCAAAATGCAGGCATCCAATGCAAAAATAATCCAACATGTTATTCATACACAACAATAATTTAAACGTACAGTGTGCACAAATCATTTAGTTTTTCATCTTGTTTTAGTCATCATCTTGTTTTATTCTAATAACTCCTAATATATAATTTATTGATTTATTTAGGAGCACAATAAGCAATAATCAATAATCTAATCAGATCAGTTTTAGGCTGTAGAATTGTAGAATGTAGCCCCTAAATCATGAATACATAAGGGTTATTTCTTCTGATCGAATTCTTTAGAACTGAGCGTATTGTTGGTTGCATATCCAGTGTCGTCGCACTTATTTGGTCTATTCAGGTCGATAAAATAGGATTTTCAGCGGCGTACGTTGTTGCAGACGCTTTTCTTCCTTGAAGGATGATGTTTGACTCACTAGATGGTGTGGAAGAGGTAGAATCGGTCCATGATATACAGCCCAGCTTTTTTTTTAGCAGATTCAAAATCTTCTTTTTGCAAATGAAGATTAAGAAAATAAAAACACCTACAAAAAAAGAACGTATCTCTAAAATAGGTACACCAATCTACAGGGTGGTCAGAACAGCATATTCTGCAGATCAAAATAAATATAATAAAAAGTTCGTATAAATGGATGTCCTAAAATGCTTACTTTCGGAGATACAGGGTGTATAGAAGTTTCATTTTTATTTCGATTTTTTCCAAGTATTTTCTGAAGTAACGTCAACATTTGGACGGCAATCGGTATCTGGCATGTTTTTGACATGAGAAATTTGATTTTGATGTCAATATGACTTCTACTTCTAGAGGGCACCGCCCAAGGACTGTATATATTCTAAAGCATTGCCTGGAAACTTATATGGTGAAATTTTGATAAAATAATTTAGTACTCACTAAAAACACGGTATGTCGCTAGTGGTAGGAAAAATGATTTTTAGAGGTTACTAGTTTATTTGGTTGCCTGTGATATGCATATACAGGATGTTTCCTAATTAATCTAAAAAATAAAAAATCGTTAGAAAACGGCTTAAGGCGGGCTCTTAATAAGTATATTTATTTTTTTCTCGGCAACCGTTTGATGAACAAGAAAAAATCAAAAGATCAATTTTGTTGAAAAAGGATGGCCAGTCAAGAAAAAAAATATTTTTCTTTAAAAAAGCAGTAGTGTACTATTTGTTAAGCAAAATATCGATTTTTTTTTAATTTTTAAACACCCTGTAGATCAGAAGGGTACTTTAGACCCAATGGTTATATAAAAATTGTTTTAAGAACACATGAGGAATCACACCACAATTTTTTAGACTAATTAGGAAACACCCTGTATATTGTCAACTTGACAATGATTGTCGATAAATCAAAAAATACCTTTTCTGTGAAAAAAGCCCGATTTTCGCAGGAAAAATTTTGGTTTTTATTGAATTTGGGCCTGCGTCTGCAAATACCGGTATGTTCTTTAATATTCTATCTATCTAAATTTTAAATATCATAGTCAGAAATAGTTTTATTATTTATTAACTGTAAAAATGGTATACTTATAAGTTTTATCAAATATTGTGATTTACTTTCTACCTTGTAGTCAAAATTTATATTTAATAAACTGTAAAATATATATATTCTTATGTTTTATTAAAGTTACTCTGATATACTAATATATCAGTGTAACTTTAAAACTAAATCCTTTGAAATCAAATATAAACATAAAAAATATTTACAGCAGAAAAGGCGAAGGCGCTGGGTTAAACGTAGTCTCTACTAAGAATACGGAGGGGCGCTTTGACCCAAAATTTTACTATTAAGTTTCATATCTATCTTAATAGAAGATTATTTTCTTTTATCTATGTTCTAAAGGACTGTTCGATCGCGTCAAATCGCCGCTGTCATAGTCGCTGTGGATGCTTACGTCACGCAGGGACCAGCGCTCCACAGTGCGGCGGATGGTCATTCTAGCGGGACAAAATCTCAGGAGCGATGTTTGGGACTTAAAATCTAAGAACGTAGCAAATGGTCTAATATATGGCAACCATATGGTTAAATTTATTTATTTATTAACAACTTAATTTATTAATAAATAAATAAATACAAGTTAATAAAACTATGATATTATTCGTACATGACACACAAAACCCCTACTGTAAACCATTGCCAAATACATTAAATTATGATATCAGGTGAAATACTTACAAAAAACTCTTTAGCTGTTATTTTTTAATTACTTTATAATCTTGTGACATCCTGTATATTTTATTTTAAAAAATTCTATTTTATTTTGAAAATAATAAATAAGATAGATATTTTAATTTTAATTTTAACACTCGGTAATTGTAAATTCATCTAGTATCTAAGACAATTTTTTTTTTAACTTTTATTAAATCTAGTAATAATCATTTAGTTTTATTATAAATTATCAGAAAGTAAAAAAAGGCTTTAGCATATCGTCATGCTTTATTTAACTAGAACATCATTTGGATGTTTTTGTCTTGAGGAAAATTGTCGAAGTGACTATTGGTGTAATTCATTAGCTGCCCATACACGGAAAGGCCCGGCCGTCGGACTTGGCCTTGAGTCCGGGCCTTTAACCCAAAATACTATAGGTTTGCGTGAAAGGCAAAGTCCGCGGATAGGTTTCCGCTATGGTAATTTGGATGAAAGCCCCGGCCTCAAGGCCAAGGCCAAAAACGGGCCTTTCCGTGTATGGGCAGCTATTAATTTTTTAAACTCAGTGCCTTTCTATGGAGTTATGGTTTCAACAATTAACAGCAGCATCCTTACTCCCACTAGCCCTAAAGCTCATAGTACTTGCAAAACACAATTCTTCTTTTGAATGCTCTTCAATTAACCCTTTAACGAGTCTTTGATTCGTTTTTATACTATCCGATTGAATTGAAACTGTTGGGCATTCACCTGTTAAGCTTGAACTCCTTGTGACTGTGACTACCTGTGTTGGTAACTATTGGTAACTCAAAAGATCTACATCATTCAATATATCAATATTTGAAAAATGTGAAAGTTTGATATCTGCAGAACAAAGGCACGAAGGATTTTAACAAATAATATACCTACAGTAGAAAAGTACATACCTTTGGCAATCTTCCACATAATTTGGCTTTGGAATAAAATGCACTTTTAAATAAAGATTTAAAAGACATTTAAAAAAAATAAATGTTTTGTTTTCGTATGACCTCTGCCTTGCTGAGTAGAAAACGATCAAAACGATTGGTTGATAAAAATGTATCGAAATACAAAGAATATACACGACCAAAAAATAATTCATGCATTTTTATATCAATTGGAATGTTTATTATTTATTCTTATCAGTACACATTTTTTGGCTTATTTCTAACCGAACAGTTTTGTCCCGCTAGATTTATCTTCCGCCGCACTGTGCGCTCGTCCATCAAACACAAAAATAACTGTCACTATCTAAAATCTTTAGCGCCAACTTCAACTCGGTCCCTAGATAACGTAAAAAAACTGACAGTACAGGAAGGTAGGAATCGAACTATCCTTATCTCTATAGTATCCTTGGGCACAACCTACATATTTTTTAACTGGTTTGAAGAGTGATAATTTTTCGTCCGTACCTGTATAAAACTACTGAGTAAAAAAATATACATTTACAATGTTTTCTACGTAAAAAAGGTCTCTTGGTAAAAATCGCTACGAGGAACCGTACTCAAGATTTTTAGAATGAAAATAGTCAATGCATGTCATAAAATTGACAAAAAAACATGTTGAGTAGATAGTTATTTGACTGAAATGATAAATATGGGGACTTTTTATTTTTTTAAATTAATCATAAATTTTTCTTCGAAAAAAGATGATAAAACAGTTTTTGTTGAACTTTTGACTCAAGATCATTTCAAATTTATGATTCTAGTTTAATAACTATTTAGTCAACATATTTATTTATGTCAATGATGACAGGTATTGATAATTTAGATTCCAAATATCTCGAGAGCCATTGCTCGTAGCGATTTTTACTACGAGATGTTTTTACGTAAAAAAACGTAAACGTTAACTATTTAGTCATCATGTTTAATTTATGTCAATAATGACAGGTATAGATAAATTCCAAATATCTCAAAAACCAATACTCGTAGCGATTTTTACCAAGGTACAATTTTTACGTAAAAAACGTCCTAAATGTATATTTTTTTACTCAGTAGTTTTATGTAGGTACTGATGAAAAGTTATTAGTCTTCAAACAAGTTAAAAAATATGTAGGTGGCGGCCTCTACAAGTAGGGGTCATATTGACATCAAAATCAAATTTCTCATGTCAAAAAACTGCTAGAAATTAATTTTCATCCAAATATTGACGTTACTTCAGAAATTATTTGGAAAAAATCGAAATAAAAATGAAACTTCTACACCCAGTATCTCCGAAACTAAGCATTTCAGGACATACATTTATACGAACTTTTTTACTTATTTTTATTTGCAGAATATGATGCCGAAGTTTCCGGAATACAGTTCGGACTACCCTGTATAATAAATATCAATTTAATCTGCTTAAAAGTAATCTGCTAGTAGATAAATCATCTATCACTTGTATAATTTCTTATATATGTATTTCTTTGCATACCTTGACAGCAAGTTATGGTGTCCAAAACTATTTCCAAAGTTTTCGTAAATTCGCTATACGAAATCATATTTTTGAAAAAGTTTTGCAGAAGTTCTACCAACCAAATGATACCCATAACGACAGCCAGTTTTACTAGTAACGTCAACCTGAAAAAAAGATTACTCTATAGTATAGAGGATTTGTATTTCTTCTTGGTTATCCCAATATTGAAAAAATGTTTAAACTCAATATAAGAATTCAAATTTTATAAAGATTTACCTGTCTTTAGCTAGAATGAATCTTCCACTATCATTTTTTCTAAAAGTATCGTTCATCTTCTGAATTTCATTTTGAACTCTGATGCAGTAAATAGCTGTTCGTACGAATAACACAATATTTATAATTTGTAATACCATGTATGGTACAAGGAGGAATACCACCCTACCATAATTCACTAAAACAAAAGATAAACAAACGTCAACATCTATACAGGGTCCCGCAAAAATGCATCTAACATATAGATGTTACACGTATTTTTGACAGACAGTCAGACATATGTCAATTCATAGATTGACATATATCTGACGCACTGGGTCTATATGAGGATAGACCTAAGCTCTCTACTACGGCATAAAGAAAATAAGTTATATATAAATAAATAAACATTATTTTTTTACTGCAAAGAACTTGATGCCTTCAAAACTTTGACCAATTTTACGAATATTTATTTTAAAATATATACAGGGTGAGTTTTAAATAAGTGCAAATATTTTTAAGGCTGGTAGATTTCGATAAAAGAAACATATTTTTTCTTTTCCGTTCGCTATATCAAACACAAGAAACGCTTACAAAGGATCTCGCATCCTTGAATGCCTATTTTATAAAATGGAGACTTCAACCCAGTGCAAATAAGACAGAAGTGGCTACCTTCCATCTTAATAACAAGCTGGCGAATACTGAAATAAGCGTCCAGTTTGGTAACACCACTCTGCGTAATAACAAATATCCAAAATATCTGGGGATTACTCTAGACAGTACACTCTCATTTCGAAAACACATAGAAAATGTTGCTGGGAAAAACAGAACACGAAACAACATTATACAAAAACTTTGTGGTACTTCTTGGGGTGCAAAAGCAACAATAACACTTCGGATCTCCGCCCTTGGTCTGGTATTCAGTGTGGCAGAGTATTGTGCACCCGTGTGGTTGAACAGCCACCACACAAATCTCGTAGACAGACAGCTAAACAACACCATGCGGCTGATTACAGGGACAATCAGATGCACCCCTAGCTACTGGCTTCCAGTTCTGAGTAACATCCTACCTCCAAATCTACGCAGAAACGAGGCTCTTCTTAGAGAATTTGATAAAATAATAGCTACCCCAACGCTACCTGTTCATAAAACACTTCCTGCTTTACAGGTGAATAGACTTAAGTCGAGGAATCCACCTTTGCGAACAGCTGAACAACTAAAAAGCAGTAACTACAACTCTCGAGAACAGTGGCTTCAGTTATGGAGAGAAATGGCCGATGCGCACCTATATTCCTGGTTCAAACATAACTATTGCCAGACACCGGGTACCGATCTAAAGCGGAAAACATGGTCAACTTTGAATAGGATACGCTCTGGCCATGGAAGATGTGCGGATTCCCTTTATAAGTGGGGAAAAATACCTTCCCCAGAATGTGATTGCGGATCCCCTCACCAAACCATCCATCACATAACTAGAGAGTGCAACCTACGCGCTTATGGTGAAGACTGGAGGGACTTTCTGGAGGCTTCTCCATCAGCTTTGGAATGGATAGGGCATCCAGATGTTAATATATAGTGTTCGTAAATACGTTTTTTATGTTGTATTTTTATATTATACTTGTTTTTTTATATTTACATTGTAATGTTTTCATTTACATTGTAGTATGTATTATTTTATGTCTATGTTTAAGTGTCTGGTTTTCTTGCATGTATATGAGCCATACGATAAATAAATAAATCTTTTCCGTTTTTCAAAGTTCTTAAGTTAGTTAAGAGGTTTTTACACAAAATTCTAAAAATTTTCATTTTTTTCGCAAAAAACCTCATAGATGTGTTTCTGGGGTCGAAATATACCACCCCTAAAAATATTTGCACTTATTTATGAATCACCCTGTATAATAGATCCCACAAGTTTTTACGTAAAGAAATATAGTAAAAGATACCTGATAAACTTAAAAAATCTGGAAAATCTCGAATAATTAAAATTTAATGAGTCATACTTACGTTTCCTCGGTAATTTGTTTACTATAAAATTATACTATTTATTATTTTTGTAATAACATGTAAAACAACACGTTAATAATGACCTAGAAAAACAGACTTATTGTCTAGAAAACCTGTTGAGAGAGGTTAGTAATAAACAATAATTACAAATAAACAATAAAAAATTGTTATTTTCTATTAATTAAGTATTCAAAAATCTGGCGAGTTAATATTATGGGAAATTCCGAATTAGTATCGTGTTATTAATATATGGGTGTATTATACTGTATGATCGAAAAAAAAATAGAAGGAAATAGAACAGAGAAGTATACAGGGTGCTACAAATTCGAGGTACGAGCATTGATATCTCGGAAACCGTAATAGCCTTGATTAATATAAACAAGGGTAATAGATACGAAGATGGTAAAATTGGGGCAAAGTTGCGTCTTGGGCTGTTCACCAAGATGCAATCAAAAAGTTTTAAAAATTTCAAGGATTGCTGAGTTTTTTTGGAAAAAACGGATTTTTTTGAAAACTAATTTTATTTTTTCCTGTCGTTACTTTTTAGAAAATCAAAAAATTGACTGCACATTCTCACAACCACTTTATTAGGGCTATCTGATGTTTGATTTTTAGATTTTCATATTAGCTGATAATTTGTGAGATACAGAGGCAAACTTAATTTATTTAAACACGGACCTGTTTTTTTATTTCAGATTTTGAAAGAACTCAGTCTCCCGAGTACAATGATATGTCATACTTTATACTTTTTTTTGTTTTGGGTACCTTAACAGCAACAAAACTATTTTTTTAAAGTCCGACTCTGTTTTTTAAATTATTTAATCTGATTATATTCATCGCGACAATATTGATCAGTGCTAATTAACATTGAATAGGGAAAATTGAGCCAATTGAAAGATTCAAATAAACAATATCCAGATCAGCAATTTAAAGATACTATTTTTAACTTTTCTTATTGTGAATTTGAAATTCTCAATGTACGATCGAATAATTTGCATAATATTATTCGTAATTATTATGAATAAATTAACTTCTATAAACTAGTTTCTAATGCTCTGCATAGTCTACATATTCGAACCATCCTCCCTATTGCGCAAATTTACTTTTCATCAATTTTATTTATTTAGTAACTGCCGAGATGTGTTGATTTCACTTTTTTGTAAAATTTGGACCTGTCGAATTACTTGATGTCATCAGACGGTCCAGGAACCTCGCTGACCATTATATTGCTCTACCATTTCCAATCCATCTTCCGGGGAAATGATTTGATTGTTTATATTACATTTTATTTATATTATTTTTTATTATTTTATTGCATTTGATTTTCCATGTTCAATCCACGTCACTGTTAAGTTTGAAAGCTTATCAATATTGTAACGATGAATATATTAAATATTAAAAAAAAACAGAGCCGGACTTGAAATTAGTTTAAATAAATTGGGTCCAAATTTCCAAAACAAAAACAAATATTAAGTGTGGCATATCATTGTACTCAGGAGAGCGAGTTCTTTTAAAATCTGAAACAAAATATGCAGGACCGTATCTGATTTGAAAATCTAAAAATACTATCAGATAGCCCTCATTAAGTGACTCTGAGAATGTGCAATTAGTTTCTTGATTTTCTAAAATGTAACGACAGGAAAAAATAAAATTAATTTTCAAAAATATCCGTTTTTTCCAAAAACTCAGCAATCCTTGAAATTTTTAAAATTGTTTTAATGGCATCTTGTTGAACATCCCAAAGCGCAACTTTGCCCCAATTTAACTATGTTCGTATCTATTACGGTTACCGAGTTACCAATGCTCGTACCTCGAATTTGTAGCACCCTGTATAATAGATAAATAATACAACACATAAAAATATCTTACCATTTTCAATAAAACAATATAAATTTCCTATACGAGGTTGAACTGAATCTGGCAGAAAAGAAGTATTTTCCAAGATGATCAGTAGGATCATGTGAACGAGAGCTATTCCCCAAGCGTACAGACAGTAGTTCAAGAATTTTCTGAGATTTTTCTTTTTCTGTATCACGCAGATTGTCTTTTTTGGACTCCTAAAATATAAAAAATATATATAAATTGTCAATAAATAATTAAGTGGTATAACATTTTTATAAGTTTTTAAAGTAAAAGTAAAATGGCTTAAAAAAAACCTGGCTCCTTGTAAATATTTTAAATAAATTTTCATATTTTAACTTCTAATTTTTCTAAATTTTAAATCATCACCAATTAATTAATATTTTAACACGAAAAAAATTAAACTAATTATGTTTGTGTTAAGTGAAAAAAGTAATAAATTATCTATTTTTAATTAAACCAGAATTATTGTCCGCCACGTCACTACACGTTGGCTATTCATTAACATGATTGAAATTTAATAGTATTTAGCTACCGGATATTCAACCACCAGCAAAAAACAATTTAATAATCTATTAATACATTAGGATGATCAATTTACGTCAACATATTTTCCATAAAATTTCAGATAAATAAATAAATAGATAATAGTATTATTTAACAAAAAATTATCAGAATTTTAATTGTCGTATTAGGTATTCAAATACCAGTTAGTTTTGAGTTTTGTTACAAATAGTTCTATTTGAAAATATACATAGTTGTTTTTTAAAAATTTGTCATTTAATTTCAGTGGTTAAGACCATATTATATAATATTTATTTTATTTTCTTAGACTCGGTATATCAACATACAGGATGTCTAAAAAGTTTGGCAGCTAAGACATTTATCACACAGAACTTATTAAAAAATAAAATCCTGTATATTTAATTTACAGCTTACCAACGGTTATACCACAATTTAAAAATTCTTCTATTCTACTTCTGTAACTATTTTTATACAGAGTGAGACTAAATAAGTGCACATCTCTTCAGGACTGGTAGATCTCGATAAAGGAAACATTTGTTGAGTTATTTTACTTTGAAAATTTAAAATAAAAAATGTTGTTAACTTTTTTAATTTTTGTTCTTCTAAATTTACTCTACTAAAAACATCTAAAAATTTTTAGAAAAATACAAAATTATCATGGACGTGTTCGTGGGGTCGAAATATACCACCCCCAAAAATACGTGCCCTTATTTAAGATTCGCCCTGTATATTTACTTACCCAAAAGTGCCCCAAATGTCATATGATATAACGTTGACCCACGCATGGGTGGAGCAGTTAAAAAATATTAACAAATAACCTAGAAAAATAAAAATTAATTATTATTATATAGAAAGAATATAACTCTAATAAAAAAACCTTTAATTTTGCACCAAAGATCATCTGACTTCATCATGGACAGTATCAGTACTAACATCAAAATAAACATGGCCACGCAGTAACTCACCAGGACCTTCCCAAAAGTACTTCTTGTCTCGCCCAAGTAAAAATACAAAGCAACCGTCATAACTAAAAATACACACGAAGCTATCTTTGCCCATAGAGTAAAACTGAACTTGTTGTTCGCCTGCCTGTTTTGGAAGCATCGAAAAACGTAGTACCCTGACATGGATCCCTTGGTGGCATGCTCAATGCAGTACCCTGATAAGTCTGATTCCAGTTCTTGTATGAATTTGTCCGAGTAGTTTGAGTAGTACTTGAAAACGCCATCTTTGGTGATGCTGTATTGGATGGTGTTGGACGGGTAGATGGTGACGTCAGGGCAGCCTGCGCCGTAGATCAGTTCATATTCATCTGAAAAAAAGAATTTTCTTTTTATAAAATTATAATGCCGGGTCCAGACCAAGAAAAAGAAACAACGACAAGACAGAAACATTCATGTTTTACGACAAAATTGCCAAAAATTCGATACATTTCTGCGTAATGAGGAGTAATGAGGAGGTGTTTTATCCTTTGGATTACCTAATAATTGTTGTAATTTATTATTAGCACTATACACAAGTTTATAATTGACATTCTTAAAAATTCCTTTTAGACCACGGGATAACTCTCTATCAAACGGTACTGAAAAATATTTTGACGTATCTTTCTCCGCTTGAAAAGTCGAATTTTCAGAAATCATTAAAAATCTATACCTACGTTTTCTAATTATTTTATCAACTAGTGAAGGAGAATGTCCATTACACTCAGCTACATTCCTAATGTAATCCCTTTCTATTTCATATCTTTCGTTGGAAAGTGGAAAACTAAGTAATCTATGAACTAAGAAATTTAAACTAGCCATTTTATGTTCTAATATGATTAGGAATATACCTGCGTGTAGTGGTATTTTTCCTATAGATATCAAATTCCAGGCAATTATTAGTATTTCTAATAACTAATACATCTAGAAATGGTAATCTGTCGCTCAATTTCATGTGTAAATTTAATGGAAGGAAAACGATTATTTAGAAATAAAATTATCTATGGTGTCTGAATGTGTGAAAAAAACAGCAAAATATCATCCACATACCTAAACCATACTCTTGGAAAATACTCAAACTGATTCTTAGCCTCCACTTCAAACCTGCTCATGAATAAATTAGCCAAAAATGGAGACAATGGATTACCCATTGCTGTATCCAGCTGTTCAAAAAAGTTGTTATTAAATTGAAAACAATTTTGTTTCATACATAACGATGTAAGCTCAATATATTCAATCACAGTTTTGTTGTCGAGACCATTTGCGTTCAGTAATTCCTTCAAGTAGCCTAAAATATGTGGAATTGGAACACTTGGGGACAACGAAGATACATCAAAGGAGACCAAAATTTCATCTTCATGCAATGTTATATTTTTAATTTTGTTAATTTGCATGACAACAATATTCTACTAAAATACTTTATTCTTATGTGCACTGTTTAGATTTACTTAGTAATGGAAATAGTAAATTATTCTTTTATATCATAGTAGTTCTTTAGGTTTAATTGTTTTTCTCATGTAGAAGTAGAAATTATCAAGAGCAGGAATGATAAAAAATAAACAAATTATAATATAAAAATAAGTTTTCAATGAACACCCGAAATAAAAAATGTTTTGATCATAATTTGCTACTTTAATTGTGTCGAATTTGACAGTATCGGGTCTACTATTATTAGAAAATTTATGGTATCGTCTCATTTCAGTGACTGTGTATTTATAAACTCTAGGATTTCTGAAAAACGAAATTCAAAGTAGAGCAGAAAATACCTCTTAACTAATCGTCACTCATCTTAAGTCAGATTAAAATCCTATAGTTCGTTTATTTTTTTAATTCTCTCTAAATATTATTGCATCCTATTTTGAGTTACACAACTACAAGCTTTGAATACTGTTTCTTGTGTCTTATTCTAAACTTTCACTTTAATTCTATGACGCCTGGGTTTTTCAGAAGACCTAAATATCAAAGGGGGATTTTTTACATTAATTATTTATTTAATCTACGACAATGTCATTATGACACATTTAACATTGTCATTTGGATTTGACATTGTCACTTTCATAATAGCACTAGTGCTATTATGAATTCATAATAACACGCAAATTTTAAAATAAGAAATAAGCAAAAAAAGGTACCTAAATACGTTTATTTATTGTAAACATTAATTATATCAGTACAATTGGTTAAATTAATTCCAGACAATGACAGGTGAGTTGAATTTTTAGAAAGTAAATTTATTTCCTGAGTGCTTGAACTTGTTGAAGACCCATCATTGCCAGAAATGTTACCCAAAATATTACATGACACTTTTTTCTTGTTTTCTTTGGAATTTTCTATATAGCTCTCTGCTACTGTGTTAGAGCGCCAACCACCATGTCTTTTAACAGTTAATAAATCCACTCCTGAATCTGCAAGCAACGACGCAGACGATCTACGGAAACAATGTTCAGTGTATTTTTGTGGATTTGGAAGACTTAGGAACAATGCTATTTTATACGGCATTTTTCCTAAAATATTAATGCCAACGGGTTGCTTAATACATTTTCCATTTCTGTACCCCACAAAAAATCGAGTATGCTCTGTGTTGCTTGGCTGCATATATATATCTTCGCATTGTCCTTCATCTTTAACATTTTTGCATTGCAGCTACAGATTTGTCAACTCGATACGCCGCGCCGGCAGGCTCCCGCAAGTCCCACTCTCAATGAAACTTTTGTCGGGAAATAAGTTTTATCATCAGCTTCCAACAAAAAAACGAGTTATATCTTCTTTTCTTAAAATTCTAGATTTTTTTGACCGAAATCCTTCCGATTTTAATTTTAGAAATGCAATTAAATGGACGTACTTACTAATATATGTATTTTTCTTCACTGATATAACTGAACGTAGCATGGAATAATATACCCAAAGTGATGAAGCCTTCCTATGTTTTGAAAGATGTTCGGTTCCTTTCCCTTTACACCAATCTTCAAGTTTTACATAGGCTTGCTCGTACGTTTGTCTTGATTTCTCGGGAAGTAGGGAATGGACAACGTTTTGCGCAATGCCTTCAATATCCGAAGGGACACTTTCAGAATCAGAATCACCCAGATTAATATTATTTTTTGCTTTTTGCTAAAACTGAACGTTTAACACAAAATTGAACATCAATAATTGAGTTGTCAAAGTCAAAATGGAAACAATCAACATGCACGATTACCAAGATAATTGTAAATCTTAATTTTTATGAGGATATCTCTGATATTTTAAATTAAATCAAATCTCTTTGGATCGTCCCTCGTGTCGCGTCGTAGATTAAATTTTGAATGATACACGTTCGATACGAAATTTTTAATGAAACTTGTAACTCGGCTAACGCCTCGAGGCTTAACGTTACACGCGTTTCACTATGATGTTCGTATCGAACTTGTATCATTAATAACTATAATGTCACGCTTAAAATCACAGACATTTAATAAATTATTTAAACAAACACGGTTCTTTATGAATATATTATACATACTATATAACGGTATACGGATATAAATAAATGCGTGTGTTATAATTAAAAAATATACTAAATAAAAACCTTATTGTAGTTGTTTTTTTTTTGAAACTCACGTTTCGAACCAGTAGAAATCCCCAGAATTAATTCCAACACAAAACTTTTCCTATTCGATATGCTTTAATGGGGTACATAGGAAATTCCCAAACCCAGATAATCATATACAGAGTGTCCCAAACTGACCGAAATGAAAACAGTGATTTATATTTGATTTGTTGAAGTGTCATATTATCTACCTTTTTCTTAATATTAGAAAGTGGAAGGTGACCAAATATAGAATAGTATTAAAACTAAAAGCGTTTCGGACTTTGTCTTTATTTATTTTGCTTGCATATGCAGTTCGTCTGCTGGATCTGTGTCTATGAAAGGAATGCGGACAAAAAACATTTAAATAAACAGCAATATATTTTATACGTCGACTTGACGAGTACGTCACCGCAAATCGCTCCGCCCACTCATGTTATTGGCTACTTGCAAATTTGTCGAATTTTTATTGATGGGACGCGTCGTCTAATTTTTTACGAGAAGGATACCCCGTAGCCACAGAACGGACAGACGTACTGTACATATACTGCCATTACTCGCTGACGAGTATTCGACACGCATCAGAAGATGGTCACGTAAGGTGTTTTCTTTCATGAGCTTTTCTGTGACTGAAAAGCCCGATACGTGATGTTATCTGCCTACCGCACTCCGGACATTCAAAAATCTCATTGCTTTGTTGCCTCTTTACTTTTTGGTTGTCGCTGGTTAACTGAGTTTACAATTCTTCTCCGTTGAGTTCTATTGTGCGCCACTTCTTCCCACTCATTCTGCATGTTAATTCCCTTTTAAGTTTTCGTGGAAAATGTCCTTGTACCTTTTCAGTTGTCCACCCGGCCTCCTCTTACCGTCTACAAGCTCACCGTAAAGCAGAGGTTTTGGTATGCGATTTTCTTGCATTCTGCATACGTGACCAGTCTTAAGAGGTATTTTGTAACCATAACTTCAATACTCTAGCAGTTAGTTTTTTCAAGGACCGATACGTTTGAGACATGATGGAACCACCGGATTCTTAAGAGTTGTCTAAGGTGTCTCTGTTGCAACTTGTTTAATGCGTTCATGTATCGGCGGTACGGCACCCAGGTTTCGCTCCCATATAACATGGTGGGGATTATAATTGCTCGGTACACTGCAAGTTTCATTTTTGTACTCAAGTCATGATTGTAGAAAACCTTGTCTTTTAATTTCCAGAATGCTCTTGAGGCGCTGCTAATCCTGTGCTGAATTTCAGAGTCGATATTGGCCTTTTCCGAAATCAAACTGCCGATGCCGAGGTAATTGAATTCCGCCACATATTCCAATAGTTCTTCTCCGATTTTTATAGCATTGTTGTGATCCTCCGGGGGAGTGCATATGATTTTCGTTTTGTCGATGTTCAGCTTAAGGCCCAAAGCCTCGTATGCCCAGGAATATGTGTTCAACATCTCTTGTAATTGTTGTAACGTGTTTGCAACTAGAGCGCAGTCATCAGCGTATTGAAGTTCTGTGATGAATTTTGTACGTGTTTTTGCCCTGAGTCTTTTTATGTTGAACAGACCGCCGTCGTATCTGTATTTAATGCCCAATCCTCTTTCCTGCAGTTTGCTGTCCACTATAATGCTATTTTTCTTACACAACGGTTCAGTCAGAATAAGTATCACTGACCATTATCAAGTGCTATTATCAACTAAATCCTAAAAATCACCTGTGAATTTGTTGGGTGTAGTCAAGCATGAGGTTTTTTCTCTAAGAACACCTGCATTGGAACGT